TCACGAAAGCTTTAAATCTAGAAACAACAATATTGTCATATTCTTCTTAAATGTTGATTTAAAGCTTCCGTGACTGCAGGGATTCATATTCTTGGTTCTTTCGGTAAAGTCACGTTGAAGGGAAACAATAAAATATATATAAAACAATAAAATTCTCACGACGTTTCGACTGTAACACAAACAGTCATCATCAGGTGTGAAAACCAACGGCAAGAAACATTTGAAAGAAGTGGCGGTTTGTATTTATTTATTTTTAAACGTTAGCACCACGGATAGCGATTTGACAGTTTGTTTAGAAGGACGAGTCCATCTATGTTCAGAAAAGAGGAGGGGGGAGACGAAAATTTAATGTATGCTGTCTGAAAGCCACCGTAAGCGTGAACAATCAATTATGATCCGAAATGGTTTATCAAATCCTTCCAATGATTGCTAAGCCAGAATCCATCTTCTCGGTTGAAATTGTCTCTGTGTTTGTATATGTGGATAGCCTCATGAACGAATCTCTCATGGTAGCCCGATGGCTCAATGACTCAATTTCCCCCTACCCCGGGGTCCCATCGCTCCCCTAGGGGAAGGGTACTGGGGAGGTCCCTAGCACATCCGCAGGCTACCCTAGCCTGGTGCTCATTTCCCCCTAAGCCTGGGTCCCATCGCTCCCCCAGGGGTAGGGTACTGGGGAGGTCCCTAGCACACCCGCAGGCTACCCTAGCCTGGTGCTCATTTCCCCCTAAGCCTGGGTCCCATCGCTCCCCCAGGGGTAGGGTACTGGGGAGGTCCCTAGCACACCCACAGGCTACCCTAGCCTGGTGCCAATCTCCCCCTACCCCGGGGTCCCATCGCTCCCCCAGGGGTAGGGTATTGGGGGGGTCCCTAGCACACCCGCAGGCTACCCTAGCCTGGTGCTCATTTCCCCCTAAGCCTGGGTCCCATCGCTCCCCCAGGGGTAGGGTACTGGGGAGGTCCCTAGCACACCCGCAGGCTACCCTAGCCTGGTGCCAATCTCCCCCTACCCCGGGGTCCCATCGCTCCCCCAGGGGTAGGGTACTGGGGAGGTCCCTAGCACACCCGCAGGCTACCCTAGCCTGGTGCCAATCTCCCCCTAAGCCTGGGTCACAGCTTCCAACTTCACACTTTTCTGGCTCCTCGCGACCACCTCGTTCACGTCACGGGTGCCCAACCTTGAATACCCCAGGGGGACATGACGTCACCGTCCCCGCCCGCCGTGCAGTGACGTCACTCTCTGACGTCACTGCACCGGAGGGGTGATAGTGACGTCATTAATTAATACTCTACAAAGGTTTGAACACGTTTCTCAGGTTATTCCAATAGTGGGATAAACAGCAGGTGCAAACACTGCTTGATAAACACGATTTTGGTCACGAGATAGACTCCGTGAGACGTAATAACGTGCCAGAAACCCGTGTTTTTTTAGTTCATAGTTCATTTATTTGGTATAGCCCTGTGAGCCATTCGGCTCTTGAATCGGGTGCAACCGCAACAAACAAAAAAACATGAACAGGAAAACATCTTAAAGTGACTTTGTGTGACTGTGCAAACAAGGAGGAGGCTTCGATGCCCTCCGTCTAATCGCCCTCGTAATCAATGGCACAGGGCTTCATCTAAAAACATAAATATATCTACGTGGCAGTGAGTCTCCTGCTCCTCGAACATCTTCATGAGCCAGACACCGGCACCAGGTGTTGCTGGCCACACGCTGCAATGCAATGAAATGCCCACACTGCCCTGTGCTGTATAGCCTTTTAAATATTCGTAGGGCGCGTACAATTTGTCGCGTGCGAGTCTTCTCATGACGGGCCTATTGGTATTGGAATATAGGAATAGGTTTTACCCTTTTAACTGGCACAAAACACCAATGGAGACTAGGCTCTAAGAAAAGCTGTCTCCGGTGTGGACCAATCAAATTCAAGGACAGTGCATATTATTATCAGAGTTGTCTTTTTTGTTTGCATTTTGACTGCTTGTGTTGTGGTCATTGCAAACATGACGCCTTGAATAAAGGTGTCAGTTTTTGTGCCAGTTAAAAAGGGTAAAACCTATTCCTATATCTTGTTTCTGGCAAAGGAGGTCTCATAACGTATTGGTATTGTTACTACTCACGGAAGTTTAGAACCCACGAAGAATTGTCACGTACGCTTCATGGGAGCACGTGCAGCTGTTGCTCATTGTGAGCCATGACCTATCCGCTGCGGGGTCAGAGGCCTCCCACAAGCCGTTCCCATCACGCTGTCTGGCGATGCACCCACCTGTCTAGAATGTGGGGGGGGGGGGTGGTGATGCCCGAGAGAAGGGGCCATCGGACTTTATTGTCTCTTCTTAAAGTAATCCGTTTATTTTACAGCTTTATTTCTGGCCACGTGGTGGGAGTGAGTCACCGACTCGACGAGTAAGGAGCAAAATCATAACGAAGCTGGCACTCCTGCACGAATGTTTTGTGTTTTCCTTGCAAGCACGAGGAATCCGCAACAACAATATTACTCTTTGGTTCTATTGGGTAAAGTCACGTAGGTGAAAATTTTGTTATTTTATTTTCACCTACGTGACTTTACCCAATAGAACCAAAGAGTATGGATCCTAGCAGTCACGAAAGCTTTAAATCTAGAAACAACAATATTGTCATATTCTTCTTAAATGTTGATTTAAAGCTTCCGTGACTGCAGGGATTCATATTCTTGGTTCGTTCGGTAAAGTCACCACGTAGAAGGGAAACAATAAAATAATACAAATATAAAACAATACAATTCTCACGACGTTTCGACTGCAACACAAGCAATCATCATCAGGTGTGAAAACCACAGCAAGACATTTTTTTAAGTGGCGTTTTTTTTAACGTTAGCACCACGGAGAGCAATTTGGCAGTTATTCAGATGGAAGAGTCCATCTATGTTCGGAAAAGAGGAAGGGCGAGACGAAAATAATGGATGCGGTCTGAAAGCCACCGTAAGCGTGAACAATCAATTAAATGAGATATTGAGTTTTAATTATAAGTTAATATCTTTCTAATGCATTTTCCTACAGATTCCCTTTTTCAAATCTGTTTTGACGGCAGGAATGTTTGCTTATCAGAAATTGGGTTGCCTTCCCAGACATTGTCATTGGAGACGTGGACAGCCCGTGCTGTGCTGACGCTCCAGACAACTCACAGACCAGGCCAACTTCAAAATGCAAAGTCAGATGTGGAACCCGACACACGCACACACACACACGATGCATAACATCTTGATTTGAATATTTCCTCGATTTGACTTCCCCTGTGCCATTTTAAGGAATAAACATTAGCCACGAATTGATGTTCGCCAATGTCATTGCATTCCGGGTTTGAAACGTGACGTTGACAGCACTGAGTCACGGGGGCTGCTGGCCACTGTGCCAGTGGCCAGCAGCTGGACTGGCAGTCCAGAGAGGTCGTCGCTTAGATTTGACCTCCCGGTGCGGCAGCTGAAATCATCGGGCAGGGATTATAAATCTCCCTCCCCTACCCCCACCGCTCTCGACCTCTGTCCACGCAGTTAAGTCGATCGGCAGGTGACGTTCGGTGGGGTAAAAGTATGGCTACTCCCAGACATCTCAGCAGTGTGGGAGCGCCATGGTTGACGAGATGTTAGCTACCTCGCCTGGTACGCAGGAGGTCGTGGGTCGCGGACCCCTACAAATACTCGCGATCATCAAGTTCCATACCCCCCACCCCCCACGGTTGTTGCATCGCTAGCCCCTAAGAGACGGGTGACGGCTTGCCATCCCCTGCCAGACACGCTCAGCCAGTTTTCTCGGGCGAGCGTGGAGGATGGGGTCTGGGATTCTCAACATTGACCTAATTCATGATTATTGATGCGGGGCATGATTGAGTTCAACTGGCTTGGCAATGTGGCACTTTTGATTTAAAGATTTCGTGACTGCAAGCGATTCATAGACTCGGTTCTTTGGGTAAAGTCACGTAGAAGGGAACCGAATAACGGCCGTCGCATTTTTTTTTCACACTACCCTTACCCGTGCCAGGCTAGGTGCGCCGCGAGGCCCCGCGCGGAGCGCGCGAAGGCGCGCAGACACCAGGCGTTAGGGGTTCGCAGACCAGGACGGACAATGGACGCTCCGCCTGTGCTCCCCGGCGCACTCCGCTCGCCGCGTGACACCGCACGTGACACCGCACGTGACACACTGCACGTGACACCCCGCACATGACACCGCACGTGACACCGCACGTTGACACCGCACGTGACACCGCGCGTGACACCGCACGTGACACAGCGCGTGACGCCGCGCGTGACACCGCACGTGACACCGCACGTGACACCGCACGTGACACCGCACGTGACACCGCACGTGACACCCCGCGAGTCCGGCGTGAGACAGCTACACCACCAACGCGCCTGGCGTCGCGAGGAGAGATCCGTCAATAGATGAGCCACCGATGCCTGTGTTGGGCCCCCCCTCTTGTTGGCAACGGGGCGACTGAATGTTGTTAAGGCGACGGCCGTGTTGTGGCGAGGCACGTGGAGTGATGCAGCGCTGCACTTGATGCAGCTGGCTTCAGGGCCTCCAGAGAGCATCTCGTGGAAGCACGGCGCTACAGAGAAAACGCGTCGCGGTGTGAACACGTGCCGAGCGAGGGCTTACCGTGTACCGGCTCATATTGTTAACGAGCTTGTTTGTCCGTCCCAAGGACAGTAAATCTGACATATTCAAGAGAAAAATTGTTCAGCTCATGATTATTAATGAGGGGGGGGGGTTGCCCCGTGTGGAGTGACGTCACCCCCTCATTGGTTATTGGGGAGGGGTGCGCACGTGGAGTGACGTCACACACGGGACACACATTCTTGGCTTGTCACGCGACTGATACTTCACGAACGTTTTCTTGCTCATTTAAATTTTTCGCACATTTTCAAAAGCGGCAAAAATAAACAGCTCCCAAGAGGATCGACCGATTTGGCTCCTCGAGGCGATCAGCCTCGCTCACAGACGCACCGCAGTCACGGCAACAGAGCCTAACCCGCCTCCGCCTCCTCCTCCCCCTCCACGCTACTCGCGCAAAGCACAACACACGCATTCGATGCCCAACATTTGGAGCACGCGGAGCGAACCGTCGGACAATCGCACAACTCGGCAAAAGCAACGGGCAAGCCGTGCGGCAGCAGCAGCAGCAGCGCAACCGGCGAGACGCTCGCCGACCACAATGTAAACGCGCACAATCCGACGGAGGTCATTCGGCGCATCTTCACGATTCAGCGAGCAGACCGCGCGGGACGCCCACGTGTCCATCTCGCGGGAATCCGCACTTTTGTTATTTTAGTCCCACTAACAAAGAGCCACCCGCCGTCCCTCCGCCGGCACCCCCCAAGACAAAGGTCCCCCGCGTGGACCTCCGCGGGCCGTCGGGGCGAGCGCGGTTTCGCGAGCGGCGCCTGCGAAAGTCGTCAAGGCTACACGAGTAGGGGGGGGGGTGGGTGGCCGGCGCCACGCGCCCGACCGCCTTTGTCTCCCTCGCGGCGATCTTTTTACGCACGGCACCAGGAACTCCTGGGGAGGGGGGGCCTAGCACCGGTCCGGATAAATCATCGCTTGCTTGTTGGCCATCGCTCCCCCCCGTGCCGCAGGACTCGCCCACGCGCACACAGCGAGAGCGGCGCGTCCGTTTGGCGGGGCCGCCGGTTAGCACCTCGGCATCTGCAGAGGGGAGTGACTTGCTGCGGCCTTTGCTGGGAAAAAACAAAAACAAATAAAACACAGCGAACGAAATCTCCTCGCGTCCGATTGGCGACGGTTGGCGGCGTGCGGTGCGAAAGGAGCCCAACGTACGTACGGTGCAAAAATTTACGCACCGCCGGGGGAAGCTCCCGCCACGCGGCCGCGAAACGTCGGGCATCGCCGTGCGGGGCAGACGCACGGCGGGCACAGCCCGTGAACACGGCGCAGGGACCCGCGTGCAGCCCAGCGCGGATTGTTTCAAGTGAGCAGAACGTGCGAATGAATACGAGGGAGCATTTACAATGCCACTCGTAGTTTGGATGTTTACATGAGGTCATTTTTTGGCGTGCGATTCTCCAAAGCGAGGCAGGTTTCAGGGCTTGCTTAATACCGGGGGATGCCAGGAGGAGGTGGTGCTGTGGGCTTGTGCCTGAGAAGCATTCGGGAGGTGACAGGACAGCGGTGCATTTCAAAAAACACACACACAAACCTTGCCGCTGACATCTGTGAGTGTGACTCTCTCGTACGAATGGGTTGTCTCCGGGTTCTCCGGTGTCTCTCCCCGCCACGTGCCACAACTCGTAAAGGGAATTAAAATGCGGGGCGTTTTTTATCGGTTTCCGTCGCTGCTTATTTTCACGGGAATAAAAATACAAAAATTACCACAGCCCTCGAGGAGAGGGGGGGTCCCATCCGCCGCCGGGGTGCGTGTTGCTCTGCTTCCAATTAGCTCCGCCGTGTCGTCGTCGGCGCCGCCAGCGGTGCCAGAGGCACCCACGACACCGCCGCCATCGCCGCCGCCGCCACCACCATCACCGGCGACACAGGGCCATCTGTCCCACAATTTGAGCAGCTGTTCTCCAACCCGAGTCTCGAGCTCCTGTGATAGACATTCCCAGAGTGGTAAATAGTCGGCCTCAGCAACGACGCCACGTCATGCCAACGTCACCGCCGCCACGTGCCCTCCCACGACATCATCGCAATCGCAGAAATAAACCCACGACCGCACGCACCGCAACTACCGTCACAAGCACCGCTACCCATCATCACCGTCACACACGTGCCACCAACAAAGACAACAAAGACCCTCACCCCCCGTATAGCTAACCGCTACAGTATCGCTCCCCACACGTGCCACCACCGACTGTATCACGGGCACCGCCATCACAACCACCACCGTCATGCGCAGATGTAACCACACAAAAGGTGGTAACTGAACGTGTGCCAACTTTCCGTTTAAAATCACCGACTCAAAGAGAGCTGAGAAAATGTGGCCGTCCTGACAGACGGCGGTGAAACGAGGACGCAACAGTAGGCCGGTTTCGTCGGCATTAGGAATCATCAGCGCACCAGCAATCATTGTTCGCTGCTGCCATATTCCCCCGGGAGAACAGTGCACGGAGAAACTTGTACCCCGACACTCTGTGGGAATGCAATTAGCACTCGCCTAGAGGCGACAATTTTTGGGACGGCCGTAATTTTCTCAAATGTCTGCAGCCGGCGATCCGAGTGACATTTGCCGCCCCAAATACCTATTTTTTTTAGCCCGTATTGATGTTTCCGTTCGGAATGGATTTGACCCAGGGCACACTACCGGGAAAGGATGCAGAGTCAAGGATAGCATGTGCGGGGTGTGTACGGTCAAGGATCAAGCGGTGCGCGAAAAGGGAAGCGATGTCAGGACGGAGGTTCGCCAAGAGGAGGGGCATGGCTCAAGACGGACAGCGGGAAGAGATGAGGGAGAAAGGCAGGGAGAGAGGAGGGGGAGAAGGAATGACGAGAGGGTGATGACGATGATGAGAGTGGAGGGAAGACAGAGAACGAATGAGCCAGACGTGCGCTGCAAAGAGCTCTGTGTGTTGTGGAATGGCTTCAGAGAGAGGGGGCGGGGGTGGGGGAGGGACCACACACGTCACGTAATTTACAGGAGGTCTGAGCCGGTTTAAATTCCTCCGGTACAGCCGTGGAAAGCTTCTCGAACTACATGGGGGGAAGGGGGGGGGACGGGCGCTCACCTGCCCGTCACGGCTCACCTGCACCCTCTTGTTGTTGTTGTTGTTACACCACGGGTTGAGCAGGGTGCTGCACCTGCCGGAAGGGGATTCTGCCCCAGGTACAGCCGCAGCACCCGAAACGGCTCCGCCCAGCGCGGGGGAGCCCCCGGTCTCCGACACCGCTCCTTGCCGATCTCCGACACCGTCCGTGCGTAGCCCTGGCAACACGGCCGCCGCCACGCCCCAACCCGGGGCCGCTCGGCTCGTCGTGCGTCGGCCCTACGGCGCGTCGTGTTTTTTGTGGTTTTTAACGGATTTTTTTATTTTTTACTTACCAGGTTTAGAGGCCCGCTGAGCCACACGGCACTTTTTCAGAAAGCGACCCGGCCAACGAGTTAGCGCCGCTCAACGAAACGACTCGTCGTGTGGGAATTTGCGGCAGCCAAATGCTCTAAGCTTTTTCTAAATGTGGAAGGGAAAAACCGGAGGACCCGGGAGAGTAATCCGCACGATCGCGGGAAGAGATAGAAGAAACACGCAAACTCCAAATATACAGCAGCAGCAGGCGTCAGGGTCGGGATCGAACCCACGACCTCCCGCGTAGCAGGCGAGGTAGTTAACATGTTGCCTTCGTTCGTGATGGCCCTGCACTGCGACAACAGCGCCAACAACACCAAATGTACCGAACAATTCACAATCCAGAATCTTTATTTAAATTGCGGGAGGATTCCGATGAGATCTACGAAGATCCGTTTGACAGATATGTCCAGTTTGGTCCGGGTCGTTACGATCCACCTCCGCCGCCCCTCCACCCACCTCCATCACCACCACCATCACCACCACCATCACCTCCATCACCACCACCATCACCACCACCATCACCACTATCACCATCACCACCACCATCACCACTTCAACCATCACCACCACAATCACCACTATCATCACCACCACCATCACCACCACCATCACCTCCATCACTACCACCATCACCACTACCATCACCACTACCATCACCACCATCACCACCATCACCACCACCATCACCACCACCTCCATCACTACCACCATCACCACTACCATCACCACCATCACCACCACCATCACCACCACCACCATCACCACCATCACCACCACCATCACCACTATCATCACCACCACCACCATCACCACCACCACCACCACCCCTGCCAAACCTGGAAGCGTCCGGAGCCCCGCACGGAGAAGACGAGGTGGACGACGGCGCACGAACGGGAAAACGCTCCCGTTCAGTTTCGTCGGCCAGACGGCCCTCTGCTGCGACAACTCCAGGCTGCGCACGTTGCCGCTCTTCGCGACGAAGCGGCGCTCGCTCGCGGAGAGACGGAGGCTTCAGCCGGCGGGCGGCGAAACCGGCGAGAGCGGACGGGCAGGCAAACGAGTGAACGGCACACCGCGAGAGGGTTCGCGTCGGCCGAAGGGGTTCGTTCGTGGGGCGTAGCAGCCAGCCAGCAGCAGCAGCCGATCTGGGCGAGGGCGAGGAGGACGTGGATTGGGGCACGTTCTCAGCGGTGCGGCGCTGCGTGGAGGAAGTCCTTTGGGAAAAGTTTCCTCCGCGAATCTGGCCGTCGCCCGATGACGCCGGTTGCAATTGCCGGCGAAACGACGTCGCGGTGTAGATTGTAAATGTCGTGGCCTTTGCTCTCCGGCACACAGCGCCCGGTGTGAGACTGTACTGGTGACGAATTGGCACGTTCTGTTTACATACTCTTTGGTTCTATTGGGTAAAGTCACATAGTAGGTAAAAAATAAAATAACAAAAGTCACGACGTTTCGGCCACAACACAAGCGGCCTTCATCAGGTGAAGGGACGAGACTGTCTGGAGGACAGCCTCGTCATGATTTTTGTTATTTTATTTTTTATACCTACGTGGTGACTTTACCCAATAGAACCAAAGAGTATGGATCCTAGCAGTCACGAAAGCTTTAAATCTACGTTCTGTTTACGTCACAAACCTTACTAATTGGCTGTGTCGGGTGGTGGTGGTGGGTGTAACAACACGCATTTATAGTTTACGCGATCTGGTGATGTTGCCGCGTGCCGTGATGCCGTGCGTGTGACGACGACAATACAGAAGAGGGGCTAAACACGTGGTATGGACACAAACCACGTGATAGGAAGTTCTAGAAGGGTTGCTGTTGATGCTGCTGCACATGACGACGCTGTGTCACGATGCGCTGTGCGATGAAACAGGCGACGCTTTGTGTGTGTGTGTGTGACGCCGACGATCCAGGAAGGGCTACGCACGTGCATTGGGCACATTCTCAGAGGTGACAGCTGGACGAAAGGAAGCTGTGTGCACGCTGAGCTTCTTTCGCACCGCAACACAAGCAATCATTATCAATCATCATCATGCTTGTGTTGCAGTCGAAACGTCGTGAGAATTGTATTGTTCTATATTTGTATTATTTTATTGTTTCCCTTCTACGTGGTGGTGACTTTACCGAAAAAACCAAGAATATGTATCCCCGCAGTCACGAAAGCTTTAAATCAAAATTTATTTCGCAACCGTTCGCAGCCAAACCACGCAAATCGTAAGTGCGGGTGAAGGACAAGCAAACTAAACACGACAAACAGTTCGAAATAAAATTTTAAAGTTTTTCAAAATTCTCGAAGGGTTTGGGGGATGTTGGGGAAAGAGGCACTGAGAGAAGTCTGCTGCATGAAGAATTGGAAGGCACCAGGCAGGGAGGAAGAAAGTTGATGGATCCGACAAGATATAAGGCGGCCGTGATTTCCCACCGCTGGGCAGAGGACTCAAGAGAGGGTTTGCAGTGCGAGGAGCTGACGCGGCTCATCTCCGCGCACGGACAAACTTACACACACAAAGCCCCGAACTGCACACCACCACCGGTGTGATGTACCAGTAACGAATTGTAAATGTTGTAGTGGGTTTACTCTCCAACACACCACCGGAGTGCAGTACCAGTAACGAATTGTAAATGTTGTAGTGGGTTTACTCTCCAACACACCACCAGTGTGCAGTACCAGTAACGAATTGTAAATGTTGTAGTGGGTTCACTCTCCAACACACCACCACCGGTGTGATGTACCAGTAACGAATTGTAAATGTTGTAGTGGGTTTACTCTCCAACACACCACCCGTGTGCAGTACCAGTAACGAATTGTAAATGTTGTAGTGGGTTTACTCTCCAACACACCACCGGTGTGCAGTATCAATAACGAATTGTAAATGTTGTAGTGGGTTTACTCTCCAACACACCACCATAGTGCAGTACTAGTAACGAATTGTAAATGTTGTAGTGGGTTTACTCTCCAACACACCACCCGTGGTGTGATGTACCAGTAACGGATTGTAAATGTTGTAGTGGGTTTACTCTCCAACACACCACCGGAGTGCAGTACCAGTAACGAATTGTAAATGTTGTAGTGGGTTTACTCTCCAACACACCACCGGTGTGCAGTACCAGTAACGAATTGTAAATGTTGTAGTGGGTTTACTCTCCAACACACCACCGGTGTGATGTACCAGTAACGAATTGTAAATGTTGTAGTGGGTTTACTCTCCAACACACCACCGGTGTGCAGTACCAATAACGAATTGTAAATGTTGTAGTGGGTTTACTCTCCAACACACCACCGGTGTGATGTACCAGTAACGAATTGTAAATGTTGTAGTGGGTTTACTCTCCATCACACCACCACCCGTGGTGTGATGTACCAGTAACGAATTGTAAATGTTGTAGTGGGTTTACTCTCCAACACACCACCCGTGTGCAGTACCAATAACGAATTGTAAATGTTGTTGTGGGTTTACTCTCCAACACACCACCGGTGTGATGTACCAGTAACGAATTGTAAATGTTGTAGTGGGTTTACTCTCCAACACACCACCGGAGTGCAGTACCAGTAACGGATTGTAAATGTTGTAGTGGGTTTACTCTCCAACACACCACCGGCGTGCAGTACCAGTAACGAATTGGCATTCTTTGTTTACATGAATAACCCTACTAATTGGCTGTGTCGGGTGGTGGCGGATTTAACGGCACATTTATATTGATGCGATTTAACCTTAAAATCATAATTACGGATAATAATGGTTGCGGACGCCTACTGACTACGTGTTGAACTGGTTTCAGAGTGATATGTAATCGTGTTTTTATTTCTCCTGTCAAGCCACGGACGTGACACGACCTCTCACATCCACGTTGCAAGTATAGCGAATTGACGATCTAAGCCAATGATGTATATAGAGGTCTATTTACACTCACCTAGAGACCTACAGACCTCTACATTCACACAGAGACCCACAGATCGTTGCTATCTACACAACTGCCACCGACCTCCCTGCCCAATAAATAACGTGAAAACGATCATGGCCTCACATCTTGGTCACAAGCAACTCCTCGGTTTGTCTCGGCCCCACCTCCACCACCACCACCACCACCGGCTCCACCACCACCGGCTCCACCACCACCACCACCACCACCGCCACTCATCCGGCAACGATCGGCCATCCACGAAGCCGCCGCCGCGGCCGCCGCCGGGGGCGAAAACCTCGCCGCGGGAGCGATCGGCATCGTCGGCCGCCGGCCGATGCCGGCGGGCCGCCGCAGGCCGAGGGCCTCGTCCTCGCGGGCCAGCGCCGCGACGACGGCGCTCACCGTCGCCTCGTCCGCCTGCGACGGGGCGCGCGACGGCTCCCGCATGCGGCGCGCGAACAGCGCGCGCCACTTCTGCCGCAGCCGCAGCAGCAGGTTCGCCGCCTGGCGGGGGGGGAGGGGAGCGGAGCGGAGGGCGTGAACGAGGATCAATCGCCCGGCGTTTTCGAGGCAGCAGCGGCGAGGGTTGTGGGCGGTGACTCCTCTACTTAGGGGACGAGTTATAGGCTCCGGGGGTCTGTTCGTAAAAGTCGATTTGTCCGTAAGTGCCAACTGTACCCCTGTCGATTCCTAATGGCGTCGTACGGCACTGCGCGCTGAGCACCGGGAATGGCTTTAAAAGTTGTGTAACCTCCCGTCAGATGTGGGTGCCACTGGGCTCTTCGCGTTCTACAGATGCAGAAGCCACCACCGCCGTCAATTGCACAGCAGTTGAGCTCGCGACTCTCGGTCCGAATAGGCAACTGGACATACGGACCGGGTTTGTTCGTAAGTCGAACATTCGTAAGCAGAGGAGTCCCTTTATGTGTGCATGTTGAACTTCTTTCGCACTGTACGTAGCCAACCTTGCTAATTGGAGGTGAAGGGTGAAGGAAAGGGAAAAAACTCAAAACAAAAAGCAGTTTTAAAGAAAGAAGTTGATTGCGGCACCAATGTTCTAAAACTCCCCGGCCGCAAGAGTCGAGGGGGAGCCGTACCCCTGGTACGCCACAAGGCAGTAGAGCAAAGTGGACTGATCTCCATCTGTTTCCATCTGTGCGGGGATAGAGCGTTGCCCCCTCGCGCAAGGCGTGGGTTTTCTTCGGGTGCTCCCGTTTCCTCTCACACGTGAATAATAAACACGACTCATCGCCGATTTGCTAAAAAAATATCTTGAAATAAAAACTCAATTACAGGACCCTCCCGAAAAAGAGTCCTACAGCTCCTGGATAAACAAGTAAATTACTATAAGTACATTTGTATTATATTCTTGGTTCTTTCGGTAAAGTCACATAGAAGGGAAACAATAAAATAATAAAAAAATGAAGCAATAAAATTCTCACGACGTTTCAACTGCAACAGAAGCAATCATCATCATGTGTGAAAACCACAGCAATAATTTTTTTCTTGCTGTGGTTTTCACACCTGATGATGATTGCTTGTGTTGCAGTCGAAACGTCGTGAGAATTTTGTTTTATATTTTTATTATTTTATTGGTTGCCTTCTACATGGTGACTTTACCGAAAGAACCAAGAATATGAATCCCTGCAGTCACGAAAGCTTTAAATAAAAATTTACATTTGTAGTGATACGTAGATCCTTGTTTCCCCAGGAAAGCCTCGTCCACTCTTCTGCAAACTAAAACTAAACTTTCTATTTCACCCGGTAAGGCCCACTGAGCTAGAGAGATATTTTTCAGAACCTGGCCACAAATAATATCTCAACAAAGCGGCTTATCACGTGGACACTAATAGCGGCCAAATACTCGGCATGCGTGCTCATTCTAAACGCGGAGGGAAAAACCGGAGATCCCAGGGAAAAATCCACACGACCAAGGGGGGAAACACGCAAACTGCAAACATAGAGCAGGCGTCAGGGTCGGGATTAAACCCACGCGCTCCCTTCATACCAGGCGACGTAGTTAACATCTCGTAACCGTGGGGCCCCACAGAGACACACGCACCTTCACACAGAAAACCATAGACTAGCAACAGAGGTCGGTTGTAATTAAGCCGGGATGTAATTACATACAAACAAAACGCGCACCAGGGGTAAATGTGACGGGGTGTGTTTGTACGGCCATCGGTAGCCGGGGTCGAAACCATCAAGTCGCCACAGCTGTGCGCACCGCGGTGTAATCGCAGGCGGTCAAAAAAATCGGGTCGTGAAACCCAGGATTCTCAGCCGTCTCGGCGAAGCGCTCCACGCAGCCGGCTCTTAAGAACAACGCGACAGCCTCATCCGACTGTTGGCTTCTTGTCGGGTATTTTGCGTGTTCACAGCCTCACTCGTGCTGGGAATGTGCACCGTGAGACAGAGCGACGCACACGTGCACGAGAAAACACGCACGGGCTAATGACATATTCTTAGCTCTTTCGGTAAAGTCACCACGTTGAAGGGAAACAATAAAATAAATATAAGACAATAAAAATTCTCACGACGTTTCGACCATAACACAAACGGTCGTCATCAGGTGTGTCGGTTCGCATTAATTTATTTATTTTTAAACGGTGTATTTGTTTATTTATAAAAACACGTCAGCGCCACGCGCAGCGATTTGGCAGTTTATTTAGAAGGACTAGTCCATCTATGTTCAGGGGGGTACCTCAGTGTTTAGTCCTTGATGAACCAAGTCTTCAATGATTGCGATGGTGTCGGGGCAGGGCTGGGAGGTGTCGCCCCGGCATCTGCTTCCACCTGTTCAGCAAGGTGCGCTTCCGGAACATGCCGGAGTTCCAGGCCCCCGAGCTGCTTCGAGAGCCGCTGCAGGTACGGATGACGCAGACTGTCTAGAGGACACCGCTGACCTCTAGACAGTCTGCTCCCTTCACCTGATGAAGGCCGCTTGTGTTGTGGGACCGAAACGTCGTGAATTTTTTATTATTTTTTGTTGTTGTTTTTTTGAACGTGACTTTACCGAATAGAACCAAAGAGTTTGGTGTGCAGGTTTTTTTGTTGTTTTTGCTACGGGAGAAAAGACTCCGACAACCCGGAGGAAACCCAATGCACGACGGGGGGTTGAGTCGGGAGTCGAACCCAGGCTCTTCTCGCTGTGAGGCACGCGCGTTACCGCCGTCCTGCTCCCACCCCGGTGGACCAACATGGGAGCGACCAAGGCTAGAAGAGGAGACAACATTATAAAATACGCACAATTTTGCGGGTTCCCGGCGGCACGCTCCTGAGAACTCTCCTCTGGTCACACGTCTGCATGTTGGAGTGGAGGGTGAACACGTGGTACCTGCCACAACAAGCGACGGAGCTCTTTAAACGCCGCCCGGCGGCCGACGAGTAGCGACTCAAGCGGGGCGGGCCGCTGGATTCCCAAAACGTGAACCTCTGCAAACGAGCGGTGAGCTGCTGGGCGACGTCTAAACTAAACTATTTTTTTTATTTCACCAGGCAAGGCCCACCGAGCTTATGCAGCTCTTTCTTAAAAGCAAAGGGCAGCTCGGCAAAGTGGCTTATCGCGCGGGAAACACGCCGCGGCCAAATGCTCCGAATGCGTGACGGTGATTTTAAACGCGGAGGGAAAAACCGGAGGGACCCCGGAGAAAATTCCACGCGACCACGGGAAGAGAGAGACACACGCAGACTCCAAATACGCAGCAGGGGTCACAGGGTCGCCATCGAACCCACGACCTCCTGCATTCACGAGGCCAGGGAGGTGAACGTCGCACCCTCCTACCTGCTCCATATTATTTCGTAATACGCGCAATTTGCAAATGCAAGAAGCCGGGTCAAGGCAGCGAATCAAGTGAACAATTTACCCCTTTCAGTGGGGACCAGTCTGGTTTGGGGGCAGCGGGACTGCTCCCCATCTTTCTACCCTCTTGCTTTTCACGACCGGTTTAGTTGACGTTGACGGTGTGTACTACGTGCGTCGCAGTGAGACGCGACGGGGCCCGTCCTTTGCCTCGATGAGAAAAAAAAAAATTTCCACGAGCAATCTGACCAATGGGACGCGACTAGGAGCGTTCTTGAGCAGAGTTCTTCGGTAAAATATCACGGACGGAGCTGAACGGAAGAAGGGTCTCGCGGTCGCCGAGAGAGTTGAGAGAAATGTGTTTCCGCGTGCGAGGTAGCAACCTTCACAAGGCGCTCACAGTCAGAAAACGACGACGATGACGATCGCCGTCGTCAAGGGCCCCTCGTACGCACGGCACGAGCGCCAGTGGCCATGCGTGCAAGCGGGCGGCTAACAGGGCCAAAAAACGCCGCCGAGCTGTATGTAGGACACGAGCCGTACCTCCTCCCGGACGCGTACGCACGCACGTCCGCAGCGGCAGGCCACCCATCAGAGTCGGGAAGGTGGGTAAAGCGTACTCACTTGTGGCTCTGCCCCGCAAATCTTTTGTCGTCCCAGAGAATGAGGTCCCGCAGCGTGATGATCTCATCGTAGCCCGGCAGAAAAATCAGCACAGCTCCTGAACAACAGCAGCACCAACAACAAACATCAGCAAAGAGCTCAACGGTATTTGTTTAAAGCTCTATCAGCTGAGGTTGAAAGAGTCAATGCACGAGTTCTCTCTGTCTGTCTGTCATTTGAAGGCGTGATTTACTCTTGAAAAGTTTATTCAGTACGTGGCCATCAAACATGAAATAGGCGACGTTTCGGGCAACAGCTCTTCTTCATAGCACGTGAACATGAAATTGATCCAAGTGCTGGCTTGGATCCGCCGCTGCCTGGGAGGACCACAGCACTTCCTTTCCCCAGCTATACAGCAGAGATGTTCGCCAACTGCATGCCGGTGTTATGATGATTATTTGTAGAATTTAAAAACACCCTTGCAAATTACTTCTCTGGGATTATACAAAGCGGTGATCATTGCCTCTTGTTGGCCAGACTAATGCCCCGCTCACAGGCCAGGTGCCGTGTCACCTCGTGGCGCACAGGGACAGCTGCCACTGGTGGTGGGGGGGTTGCCCTTTCAAAAGTCTTGTTGAGATGTCACCAGTGAAAAGCGCAAATCGCTCCGAGACGCTCGCAGCGTGATGGAGGGCAGTTGTGTCAACAGCAAATCATTCCCATCATAATAATAACGATCACCGCCACCACCACCACCACCATCATCATCATCGCCGCCATCATCATCATCATCACCACCGTCACCACCACCACCATCACCACCACCACCATCATCACCACCATCATCACCACCACCATCATCACCACTACCATCACCACCACCATCATCACCATCACCACCGTCACCACCGTCACCACCACCACCACCATCACCACCACCATCACCACCACCACCATCACCACCACCATCATCACCACCACCATCACCATCGCCGCTGTCGTCCGGCCGGGGCGCGGTGGATGGCACCCACCATCGCTGGAGCTCTGGCAGATCTGGTTGAGGAGGTGCAGGATGAGATCGAGGTCCACCTTGTCGTCGTCATCGTCCAAGGTGTGGTGGTAGACGCCGAGCAGCTCACGGCACTCGGGGCTAAGCCCGGTGCTGGCGTTCGCCAGCTTGCTCTGGTCAGGCCCGGGCTCGCCTACCGAAGCCCTGGGAGACCGGGCGAGAAAAAACAGGGGGGTGGTGAATTCAACTAAAAGTATTTTTTGTATTTTACCAGGCAGGCCCACTGAGCTACATTGCTCTTTTTCAATAGTGACCCGGCCACAAATGATAGCTCAACGAAGCGGCTTATCACATGGAAATGTACAGCAGACGAACACTCTAACACGCGTGCTTCTAAAAATGTGGAGGGAAACACCGAAGGACCCGGAGAAAAATCCAGGTGACCACGGGGAGGGCATATACAGCAGGCGTCAGGGTCAGGATTGAATCCACGACCTCCTGTATATCAGGCGAGGTAGTTAACATCTCCCAGCCACCGTGGCGCCTCACACTGCTGGGTGGACAGGGGCAGTGAGGGAGATTTAAGAGCGTTGGCCACGTATTAATAATAAGCCATGATCGATCTACAGCTGGATCAGGGACATCCCAAGCTGTCACCATCGCTAATGGTCCTGCAATGCATGAATCTATCCAGGCACCTGCAAATTACTGATTTAATCTCCACGGTGAATGTGTATCTTGGCCGGTCGTGTTCTCATCTTCATCCTGCCCAAGCCCACTCATTAAAAAATAGTCAAATCACGTCTCAAACTCGTGTAAACCTTTTTAACGATAAAAACAATTTCTAACATTGATTTTCAGTGCCGGACGGAACATCTGACATGGCCACAGCGTGGTGAAAATTAGCCCTTGTGCAAGTGCCAGGTAAATCCCGACCGTGACGCGTTGTATATTTGGAGTCTACACGTTCTCCCCGTGGTCGCGTGGATGTGTCTCCGGGGTAGATTGCTGCATCGTGAGGTTGTGAGAGACTTGTCTCTGGGGTAGATTGTTGCATCGTGAGGTTGTGAGAGCCTTGTCTAAGGGGTAGATTGTTGCATCGTGAGGTTGTGAGAGACTTGTCTCCGGGATAGCATGTTGCATCGTGAGGTTGTGAGAGACTTGTCTCTGGGGTAGAATGTTGCATCGTGAGGTTGTGAGAGACTTGTCTCATGGGTAGAATGCTGCATCGTGAGGTTGTGAGAGATTTGTCTCTGGGGTAGATTGTTGCATCGTGAGGTTGTGAGAGACTTGTCTCGGGGTAGATTGTTGCATCGTGAGGTTGTGAGAGACTTGTCTCCGGGGTAGATTGTTGCATCGTGAGGTTGTGAGAGACTTGTCTCTGGGTAGATTGTTGCATCGTGAGGTTGTGAGAGACTTGTCTCTGGGGTAGATTGTTGCATCGTGAGGTTGTGAGAGACTTGTCTCCGGGGTAGATTGTTGCATCGTGAGGTTGTGAGAGACTTGTCTCAGGGGTAGATTGTTGCATCGTGAGGTTGTGAGAGACTTGTCTCCGGGGTTAGATTGTTGCATCGTGAGGTTGTGAGAGACTTGTCTCCGGGGTAGATTGTTGCATCGTGAGGTTGTGAGAGACTTGTCTCTGGGGTAGATTGTTGCATCGTGAGGTTGTGAGAGACTTGTCTCTGGGGTAGATTGTTGCATCGTGAGGTTGTGAGAGACTTGTCTCTGGGGTAGAATGTTGCATCGTGAGGTTGTGAGAGACTTGTCTCTGGGGTAGATTGTTGCATCGTGAGGTTGTGAGAGACTTGTCTACGGGGTAGATTGTTGCATCGTGAGGTTGTGAGAGACTTGTCTCAGGGGTAGATTGTTGCATCGTGAGGTTGTGAGAGACTTGTCTCTGGGGTAGATTGTTGCATCGTGAGGTTCTGAGAGACTTGTCTCCGGGGCAGATTGTTGCATCGTGAGGTTGTGAGAGATTTGTCTCCGGGGTAAGATTGTTGCATCGTGAGGTTGTGAGAGACTTGTCTCAGGGGTAGATTGTTGCATCGTGAGGTTGTGAGAGACTTGTCTCAGGGGTAGAATGTTGCATCGTGAGGTTGTGAGAGACTTGTCTCCGGGGTAGATTGTTGCATCGTGAGGTTGTGAGAGACTTGTCTCCGGGGTAGATTGTTGCATCGTGAGGTTCTGAGAGACTTGTCTATGAGGTAGAATGTTGCATCGTGAGGTTCTGAGAGACTTGTCTCTGGGGAAGATTGTTGAATCGTGAGGTTGTGAGAGACTTGTCTCTGGGGTAGAATGTTGCATCGTGAGGTTGTGAGAGACTTGTCTCCGGGGTAGATTGTTGCATCGTGAGGTTGTGAGAGACTTGTCTCAGGGGTAGAATGTTGCATCGTGAGGTTGTGAGAGACTTGTCTCTGGGGTAGATTGTTGCATCGTGAGGTTCTGAGAGACTTGTCTCCGGGGCAGATTGTTGCATCGTGAGGTTGTGAGAGACTTGTCTCAGGGGTAGATTGTTGCATCGTGAGGTTGTGAGAGACTTGTCTCTGGGGTAGATTGTTGCATCGTGAGGTTGTGAGAGACTTGTCTCCGGGGTAGATGTTGCATCGTGAGGTTCTGAGAGACTTGTCTCGGGGCAGATTGTTGCATCGTGAGGTTGTGAGAGACTTGTCTCAGGGGTAGATTGTTGCATCGTGAGGTTGTGAGAGACTTGTCTCCTGGGTAGATTGTTGCATCGTGAGGTTGTGAGAGACTTGTCTCATGGGGTAGATTGTTGCATCGTGAGGTTGTGAGAGACTTGTCTCTGGGGTAGATTGTTGCATCGTGAGGTTGTGAGAGACTTGTCTCTGGGGTAGATTGTTGCATCGTGAGGTTGTGAGAGACTTGTCTCTGGGGTAGATTGTTGCATCGTGAGGTTGTGAGAGACTTGTCTCATGGGGTTAGTTTTGTTGCATCGTGAGGTTGTGAGAGACTTGTCTCGGGGTAGATTGTTGCATCGTGAGGTTGTGAGAGACTTGTCTCAGGGGTAGATTGTTGCATCGTGAGGTTGTGAGAGACTTGTCTCCTGGGGTAGATTGTTGCATCGTGAGTTTGTGAGAGGTTTGTCTCAGGGGTAGATTGTTGCATCGTGAGGTTGTGAGAGACTTGTCTCTGGGGTAGATTGTTGCATCGTGAGGTTGTGAGAGACTTGTCTCTGGGGTAGATTGTTGCATCGTGAGGTTGTGAGAGACTTGTCTCTGGGGTAGATTGTTGCATCGTGAGGTTGTGAGAGACTTGTCTCTGGGCTAGATTTTTGCATCATGAGGTTGTGAGAGACTTGTCTCAGGGGTAGATTGTTGCATCGTGAGGTTGTGAGAGACTTGTCTCTGGGGTAGATTGTTGCATCGTGAGGTTGTGAGAGGCTTGTCTCAGGGGTAGATTGTTGCATCGTGAGGTTGTGAGAGACTTGTCTCTGGGGTAGAATGTTGCATCGTGCGGCTGTGAGAGACTTGTCTCCGGGCTAGATTGTTGCATCGTGAGGTTGTGAGAGACTTGTCTCAGGGGTTATAATGTTGCATCGTGAGGTTGTGAGAGACTTGTCTCCCGGGTAGAATGTTGCATCATAAGGTTGTGAGAGACTTGTCTCTGGGGTAGATTGTTGCATCGTGAGGTTGTGAGAGACTTGTCTCCGGGGTAGAATGTTGCATCGTGAGGTTGTGAGAGACTTGTCTCTGGGGTAGAATGTTGCATCGTGAGGTTGTGAGAGACTTGTCTCCGGGGTTAGATTGTTGCATCGTGAGGTTGTGAGAGACTTGTCTCCGGGGTAGAATGTTGCATCGTGAGGTTGTGAGAGACTTGTCTATGGGGTAGAATGTTGCATCGTGAGGTTGTGAGAGACTTGTCTCAGGGGTAGAATGTTGCATCGTGAGGTTGTGAGAGACTTGTCTCTGGGCTAGATTGTTGCATCGTGAGGTTGTGAAAGACTTGTCTCTGGGGTAGATTGTTGCATCGTGAGGTTGTGAGAGACGAGACGTATTTGAGAGGCATTCTTCCAGTGGATTGAAACATGACGATCTCTTTTTGCGACTGTTAAGTACCCAGGAAATCCTCACTGAGTCTCAAGGCAATTTTTCCATGAAGATGCCGCCGAGTTATTTCATTCAAAAATAAACGGAAGAAATATTGCCGTCACGCGCGACACCCCCCAATTGAGTAACGTGCAGGATACATTTCTCAGCACTGGGATGCGTGACCAATGCTAATGACGAGGTATGTTAATTTTTTGTCGCTTTTAAGCTTTGAGAGGAAACCAAAGAAGCTGGAGGGGAAATCCACGACAGCCGTGGAGAGGGAGCGCACAAACTCAACAACACGGACAAAGTATCCCGAGTCAGGCATCGAATCCAGGCCCCCGTTTTCTACAATGAATTACATTAAACCGGTTGCCCGAATAAGGCGGTGCCATCGCCGATAACGTACGCAGACGATTCCAGGAGCTCCACCACGTCCGATTCATGGAATTTCTTCGCCCAGTCGAAAGTGTTCCTGCGGAAATGAAAAAAAAAACAAGGCAAGGGCATTTGGGGGGCGGGGGGGCGGGGTGGGGGGGGGTCGTCTCGACCGTGGCGACACCGGGCGATTGCGCCGAACCGGGAAAACGAGCACGGGGCGGCGCATCTTGCGGAGGGGAGGCCGCACCAGCGCTTGACCGTCTGTCGGACCCAAAAACCACTAAACCAGGGGGAGAGGCGGATGTTGCTCGCGACGAGATGGGCGTCAGGCACCACGAGGCCGGATGTCGGGCGACGGGGGAACAAACGGCGGAGACGCGGCCGAGCGGTTAGGTCCGCTCGCCGCTTGCTGAAGGTTTTGTCGATTCGCATCCGGCAGGCCACCCCGGTTATTAACAGCCCAAAAGCAGGAGGGGGCTGCGGGGTGTTCTAGGATCCCCCGGGACCTCCCCCCCCCCCCTTGGAACTCTCTGGAAGGGAGGCGTGGCCAGAGGCTGACACACAGGGGAGGTGTATAAAAGCCGGGATCTCTCAACGTGTCCGGGGCCAGTCCAAGACAGAAGCCAGAAGACCAGCAGCTGGCCAGGACCCTGGGGACCCCCTAGCCCCGCTGTCCTTGTAAGGGCGGGGGACTCTGTGGGCCAGTGGTGAGAGACTCTGGCAACCCGCGGCCAGACGTCCTTGTTAAGGGTCGTGTCCGAGTGGGCCAGTGGTCAGAGGAGCCTCCCCTAGGTCACTCGTAGCCGGAGGAGCTGAGGGCTGTAGTCCGGTGTAAATTCGCGATCGTCCAGAGGCTGCACCTCCCTAGGTGATGAGTAAAAATGGCTGCAGCCTTAGCGAAGGCTGAGACCGTTGCTGTTAAAGCGTTTATTGAACAAACGCGTTGCCTCCACAAGTCGTCTCCGAGAACCCGCTACAACCTTCCACCGGGGCTGTGTCAACGCCCGATTGCGATCAAGCGGGGATGGGGGTGCAGGTGTGCCCTCACATGCCGTTGGAGTCCTTCAAGTTGACGTCGGCCCCCATCCGGAGCAGCAGCTCCACGATGTCAATGAGGCCGCGGCCGGCGGCCACCATCAGCGGCGTGGCGGTCTTCTCGCTGTGCCTGTAGTCGACTGCCCAGGAGAGAGACGATCATCATCATCATCATCGGCAGCGGCGGCGGCAGCGGCGGTGGCAGGGGCAGCAGAAGCAGCTTCAGCGGCAGGTGTGCAGCAACAAATTTATTCGACCATTCGAATTCTGACGCTCACACGTAGGGAGCATTCCGAGCTGTAATGGTTGGCAGTACTGGCCTTCCAATTCGGCATTTTAAACGATGAAGCAAGTTTATTAAATCACAGCCCCCCCCGCCCCTGCCCAGCCTCCCCAACCGCTCACCTTCACCACCGCCTGTCCAAACAACACCCCCGCCCCCTAGAGCCCTCTTCAGTGTAGGCTCTTTCAAGAACAGTGGCACAAGCAAGCAAGCCAGCAATAGCGGGGCTGCACCTTAATCTGTTAAATAAGAAACAAGGCCAAACTTCGACCGGGGCCACAGCGCACGTGGGCCAATCGACGCAACCCGTCGCAAACCGTTCCACCGATAAAAAAAAAAACGGTTTACCGATTCCTGACTCTCAGAACACGGAACAATATATGCACAGCACTTTTTCAGAAGCGACCTGGTCGCAAATGACATCTCGGTAAAAGTGACTTATCACGACGTGGAAATTTATAGCAGCCAAGTACCCTGAACACACGTTGATTCCAAATGTGGAGGGAAAAGCCGGAGGACCCGGAGAAAAATCCACGTGACCACGGGGAGAGAGACACGCAAACTCCAAATATACAGCAGCAGCAACAGGCGTCAGGGTCGGGATTAAACCCACGACCTCCTGCACACCAGGCGAGGTGGTTAACGTCTCCTAGCCACCGAGGTGGTAACCGATTCAGGAAAGGGCTACCGGTTTAACGGGGGAAGAAGTTGGGAGGGGAGGAAGGGGTGGGGGGTGGGGGGGGAGGGAGGGAGGGTATTTCCCAGGCCACCCTGTTCCATTGGCACGCTGGCCCCGGCACGCACCGCTGACGCGCTCGCTGATCAGCAGGTGCAGCAGCTGCGTGGATGCGTCCTCGTCCCTGTGCAGCCACATGTTGGTGATGCACGCGTCCATCTCCTTGACGAGCCACGGCTCCAGCTTGGAGCCGTCGCGCTCCGCCTGTCCGCGCAAGAGACAAAAGATCCCCGTCGTGTAGCCGAAACAGACTGTTGGGGGCAAGCGCTGTTCGCCAGTGGCACCGATACGAAGGCTGGCACGGCGCACGAGGGGGCAGGTGGCCAGCACCACCACGCCTTTGTCTCCCGAGCGGCGATGCTGGCGCACCGTACCAGGTACTTATTTGAGGGCTAAGTCGATCTAGGCGAGGAACAGGAGCGGTTCAGATAATCGTCACATATCCTGCAACAGACTGTCGGGGCAAGCGCCATTAGCGAGCACCTACCTCGCCCGTATACCAGGCGAGGTAGTTAACATCTCCCGCCCCCACCCCAGCGTTCCACACGACATACCTCCTGTTCGAAGGCGCTCTCCCCCCCTTCGATGTTGAGAATCTTGGTTTGATCCGTGAGGAGTGCGACGCTGGCACCGCGCACTGGCACGCTCGGTCCGGTCTCCTCCTCGTACCGTTCGCTCAGATTGTTCTGCTGGCTCTCCACTGCGCACACGCAGACACAGAGATCCACCCCCCACCCCCCCCGGTATAAAGCCTCAACAGACTGTTGGGGCAAGTGCTGTTCGCGAGCGCATGTGAAGGCTGGCACGGCGCAAGAGAAGGTGGTGGTTGTCTATATGCTGCACCATGTGCTCATTTTAAGGCTGAGTCGACCGAAATAACAAGGAAAAACTTTTTTTTTTTACCAGGTAAGGCCCATTGAGCTACGTAGCTTTTTCAGAAGTGACCTGGCCACATAAAAATGACAGCTCAAGCAAGCGGCTTGTCACCAAGTGGACATTTATAGCGGCAGCTAAACACTCTAAATGCACGTTGATTACAAATGCGGAGAGTAAAAACCAGAGGACCCGGAGAAAAATCCACACGAGCACAGAGAGAGAGAAAATGTAAACTCCAAATATAAAGGTGTTATGGTCAGAATCGAACCCACAACCTCCTCTATACCAGGCGAGGTAGCTAACATCTCCTAGCCACAGTGGCGCCCACCGTGCAAGACTGGTCCTGTGGCAGGTGCAGGACTGGTTCGGATAACCGCCACTGATATTGGCTACGAGGGTCAAAGGTCACAGATCCCCCGTGTAGCCTTAGCAGACTGTAGGGGCAAGTGCTGTTAGCGAGCAGCACCTATGAAGGTCGGCAACGGTACACGAGGGGGTGGGTGGCCAGCACCACGCCCGACCGCCTTTGTCTCCCCAGCGGCGATGTTTACTAAACACCGCACCAGGGTACTCATTTGAGGCTGAGTCGACCTAGGGGAGGCCCGGGACCGGTTCAGATAATCACCGCGAGCGGGAATCGAACCCGGGTCGCCGGGTTCGTAGCGCAGCGTCGCGCTGACCGCTGCACCGCCGCTCCCCACCACGAGGGTCACACACAAACAGAGACGCAGGCAGAGACACACACACACAGCAGTGTACACGCCTTTGTAGTGGGTTCCGGAGACACTTCGGAGAGGCAACTTCTTTATGACAACACGGTACTCCCAGCAGTCCTCCTGATACACTGCTACAGCCTAGGGGACACGGCCTACTCCTAGCGTGCCTTGACACTGGCTACGCTCTCGGCTCCTCCGGCTATGATGACCCTAGGGGAGGCTACGCCTGACCCGACCCAGCCAAGGTGCGGGTCTAGACTCTGGCTTCCTTGGCCCCGGCAGTCCTAGAGTCCCACCACCGGCTGAGAGTCCCACCACTGGCCCAGAGTCCCACCACCGGCCCGCACAGCGTCCCGGCCCTTTTTAATTTTTTTCATTTTTCATTTTCATGTATTGGGTATAGCCCTGTGAGCCATGCGGCTCTTAAGTCGGGTGCAACCGCAACAAACTAAATTTGAACGCGGAACATCCCAAAGCGACGACGCGCAACACAAACATCCTGGAATTCAACAAAGCAAATATTCCACGCGCACAAAAAAAACTTATTAAAACGCTGCGTGCAAAAAAATCACAATGTGGTGCAAGCCAACAACAACGACAACTGTCTGGGGATCCTGAGCCCCCAGCAGCCCCTCCGCTCTTGGGCTGGTGCTGCAGTCCCTCCCCTGATTGTTCGAGGTACCGTTCCATCCATGGCGCTACACCTTCACAGGTCATGGCAGCTATGAAGAAGCCCGGTCAGGTGATGCGATTATTCGGACTTCCTGTGTTACGGTCGTAACGTCGTGGGAATTTTTATTGTCATATATATTTTATTATTTTATTGTTTCCCTTCAACGTGACTTTACCGAAAGAGCTAAGAATATGAATTCCTGGGTACCGTCCCGGCAACGCCTGACGTAGCTTCAAGCGAAACGCCGCGTATCTAAATCGCTGAATCCGGCTACGGGAATTGTCCTTCAACTCACCGGTGGGACAACTGAAACAATGACAACAGACACATCGTGAAGCGCCTGTTGCAGCACGTGACGGTCTAATTAGTTTGGCTGCTTCGGGGTGGCGGAGGGGGTCTTGACGACACAGATTTGGCCAGATCGTTACATGGCCTAACACAACACTTCAGTGGGAATTGACAAGCCATCACGTGGCCCCACCAGACATTAGCGATAACGACACGGACGACAGTTTATAAAACAACAACAACAACAACACGCAACAATAACGACAACATTCACAGTGTTAATAATAATAACAACAACACGGACGACAGTTTATAAAACAACAACAACACACAACAATAACGACAACATTCACGGTGTTAATAATAATAATAACGACACGGACGACAGTTTATAAAACAACAACACACAACAATAACGATAACATTCACAGTGATAATAATAATAACGACACGGACGACAGTTTATAAAACAACAACACACAACAATAACGATAACATTCACGGTGTTAATAATAATAATAACAACACGGACGACAGTTTATAAAACAACAACACACAACAATAACGATAACATTCACAGTGTTAATAATAATAACGACAACACGGACGACAGTTTATAAAACAACAACAACAACACACAACAATAACGACAACATTCACGGTGTTAATAATAATAACGACACGGACGACAGTTTATAAAACAACAACACACAACAATAACGATAACATTCACAGTGTTAATAATAATAACGACACGGACGACAGTTTATAAAACAACAACACACAACAATAACGACAACATTCACAGTGTTAATAATAATAACAACAACACGGACGATAGTTTATAAAACAACAACACACAACAATAACGACAACATTCACAGTGTTAATAATAATAACGACAACACGGACGATAGTTTATAAAACAACAACACACAACAATAACGACAACATTCACGGTGTTAATAATAATAACGACACGGACGACAGTTTATAAAACAACAACACACAACAATAACGACAACATTCACAGTGTTAATAATAATAACGACACGGACGACAGTTTATAAAACAACAACACACAACAATAACGACAACATTCACAGTGTTAATAATAATAACAACGACACGGACGACAGTTTATAAAACAACAACACACAACAATAACGACAACATTCACAGTGTTAATAATAATAACGACAACACGGACGATAGTTTATAAAACAACAACACACAACAATAACGACAACATTCACAGTGTTAATAATAATAACGACAACACGGACGATAGTTTATAAAACAACAACACACAACAATAACGACAACATTCACAGTGTTAATAATAATAACAACACGGACGACAGTTTATAAAACAACAACACACAACAATAACGACAACATTCACAGTGTTAATAATAATAACGACAACACGGACGACAGTTTATAAAACAACAACACACAACAATAACGATAACATTCACGGTGTTAATAATAATAATAACAACACGGACGACAGTTTATAAAACAACAACACACAACAATAACGATAACATTCACAGTGTTAATAATAATAACAACAACACGGACGACAGTTTATAAAACAACAACACACAACAATAACGACAACATTCACAGTGTTAATAATAATAACAACACGGACGACAGTTTATAAAACAACAACAACAACACACAACAATAACGACAACATTCACAGTGTTAATAATAATAACAACACGGACGACAGTTTATAAAACAACAACACACAACAATAACGACAACATTCACAGTGTTAATAATAATAACAACAACACGGACGACAGTTTATAAAACAACAACACACAACAATAACGATAACATTCACAGTGTTAATAATAATAACAACAACACGGACGACAGTTTATAAAACAACACACAACAATAACGACAACATTCACAGTGTTAATAATAATAACAACAACACGGACGACAGTTTATAAAACAACAACAACACACAACAATAACGACAACATTCACAGTGTTAATAATAATAACAACACGGACGACAGTTTATAAAACAACAACACACAACAATAACGACAACATTCACAGTGTTAATAATAATAACAACAACACGGACGACAGTTTATAAAACAACAACACACAACAATAACGATAACATTCACAGTGTTAATAATAATAACAACACGGACGACAGTTTATAAAACAACAACACACAACAATAACGACAACATTCACAGTGTTAATAATAATAACAACAACACGGACGACAGTTTATAAAACAACAACAACACACAACAATAACGACAACATTCACAGTGTTAATAATAATAACAACAACACGGACGACAGTTTATAGCCCAGTTGACATTGGCTGATTGGATTCCTCCAATATGAACAAACACATTCTCCTGCGGAGGGAGCCGGTAGGAACGTTGGGTTGCTTGGTCAACGACCAGGGTCAACGGCGGCTCCGTGGTGTATTCCGCAAATATGCCCGACTGTGAGGGCGGGCACAAGCCGGCGTGAGTAGGTTAAACGTTGAGTTTTATAAGGGCACCACGGGGTGACCAGCCCCTGCCCCCCCGGCCCCACCCCTCCCACCCCCACCCCCAGCCCCACCCTCCCCACCCAGCCCCTCCCCACCCTCCCCTCCCCACCCAGCCCCACCCTCCCCTCCCCACCCAGCCCCACCCTCCCCACCCTCCCCACCCTCCCCACCCAGCCCCTTCCTCCCCACCCAGCCCCTCCCCACCCTCCCCTCCCTACCCAGCCCCTCCCTCCCTACCCAGCCCCTCCCCACCCTCCCCTCTCCACCCAGCCCCACCTCTCCCATTTTTGGATGCACGACGGACGGACACAACAACAATAATCCCCGTGTGGGCTGGTGGTGTAACCAGGAGGTTCCTACCGCTATCAATATTCTCCTGATTCCGATACAGTTGGAGATCGCCGCCTCAACACAATGGGAGGCTCTCTCAAGCAATGCGGGGGGCGGGCGGGTGGTGGGGGGGGGTGGTTTTTGCCGGCTGTACGTACGTTGATCTTTCTCCTTCTGGCGTCTCTCCATCTCCTTAGACTTGTAACCAGTGGTGGGCAGGATGTCCTCCAGAAAGAACCGCTTCACCTCGAAAAGCCTCCCAGGCACTGGCCCACGGACGAGAGGCAACATGGCGTGCACACCGCCACGTCCAACATCGCCGTTGCGTTTGGCCCGCCGCCGCCACCGCCGCCGCCGCCGCCGACGCACGGTTAGATCGAGTGAATATAAATGTTGTGTCGTTAAACCCGCCACCACCCGACGCAGCAGCCGGTTAGCGAGGTTTGTCAAGTAAACAAAACGTGGCCAACGAGTTGCTAATTCGGCACACACCGGTGTGCTGGAGGAGTAAACCCACAACATTTACCGTTCGGTAATTACAACCGGCAAATGTCGCACTCCAATGGTAAATGTTGTGGGTTTACTCCTCCAACACAACGGTGCGCCGTGCTAGTAACGATATTTTGTTTTACGTGACAAAATCTTACAAATTGGCCCTCGGGTTTAACAACACATTTACATTGACGCGATCAAACCCAAAAAAACCTCTAATACATTATCGATAATATTGGTCGCGAAAGCCTACCGCTACGTGTTCAACCGACGGATGGATTTAGCCGTCTCTCACGTCTGACGACGGGGCAGCCGCCGAAGTACTCTGAAAAGAGTGAGACGTTGAGGGGGGCGCTCATCAGCACGACGCGGAGGTTGCACTGCCGCTCCAGAATGTCGCGCAGCTTGATGAGCAGGATGTCGCAGAAGCGGTCGCGTTCATGGATCTCGTCCTAGTGGATACATCACCGCCAACGCTGCCATCATCATCATCATCGTCAATGTAACCACCACCACCGCCATCATCACCATTGTCAATTTCGCCACCACCAGTTAACAAAAATCTATCATGACCAACTGACAAGACAAAGATCCCCCGTATAGCCTTAACAGACTCGTTGGGGCAAGTGCTGTAAGCGAGTAGCTCCTATGAAGGCAGGCACGGTACACAAGGGGGTGGGTGGCAAGCACCACTCTTTAAGAACCACCACCAATACCACCACCAGAACCAACACCAGCACTACCACCATCATCATCACCACCCCTAATCACCACCACCACCACAATTATCACTACCATCATCACCACCCTTAACCATCACCACCACCAGCAGAACCATCAATAACCACCACCCTTAGCAGCAGCAACAACACTACCAGCATCACCACCATCATCACCTTTAACCAACCAGTAGCAACAGCATCAGCACCAGCTTCATAACAATAATTAAACTTCACCATGTACATACAGTCCGTTGTCAATCCAATGATTGAGACACTAAAACCGAACAAAAACTCAGAAACCGGAACTGGCCACATCTTGGGTTAGACCGAATAAAATAAAATAAATTAAAATCACGACGTTTCGAGCGAGCGCACACACAAGGGTCCGTCAGCAGGTGGGACAACCACATCTACAGGCCTCGATAGCCTCTTGTGACAGCAGCAGCAGCCCTTTTGCCCACTTCAGCAATTCTTTCTTGCTGTGGTTGTCCCACCTGCTGACTGACGCTTGCGTGTGCGCGCGCCCGAAACGCCGTGATTTAATTCATTTCATTTTCTACCTACCACGGTGACTTTACCGAGAGAACCCAGGGGCGTGGACCCCTGCAGTCACGAAAACTTCAAATCTAGATTAGACTGAAAAGAAAACTTTTGAGCACCGGTGTGTGGTGGATCGACTGTAGCTCGGCACGTACCACGATGATGTGCGTCACGACGGTAGACGTGGCGCTGTCTCCGGCCATGAGGGTCCTCAGCAGCACGTCGTTGGTGCAGAACGTGAGGAGCGTCTTTGGCGAGACCCTGCGCGCAACGCCGCGTGCGGAACGCGACGGTATGAGGGATACTCTTTGGTTCTATTGGGTAAAGTCACCACGTAGCAGGTTAAAAATAAAATAACAAAAATCACGACGTTTCGGCCACAACACAAGCGGCCTTCATCAGGTGAAGGGACGAGACTGTCTGGAGGACAGCGCTGGAGTGAGAGAAGCCACGCTGAGATCACGACCTTTAATGAGGGATACTCTTTGGTTCTATTGGGTAAAGTCACCACGTAGGTAAAAAATAAAATAACAAAAATCACGACGTTTCGGCCACAACACAAGCGGCCTTCATCAGGTGAAGGGACGAGACTGTCTGGTAGGACAGCGCTGGAGTGAAAAAAGCCACGCTCAGATCACGACCTTTAAGCTGTGTGAGAAGAAAAACACTAAGCGCCTTGACAAAGGAATTATCATATAATTTAGCATTGAAATGGCTCATTGAAATAGCTAAGTTAAAGTATACACATCTGCAGAGGTACCCCTTGACAAAGGAATTAGCATAGTTAAAGTATACACATCCGCTAGAGGCACCCCTTGACAAAGGAATTAGCATAGAATTTAGCATTGAAATGGCTCATTGAAATAGCTAAGTTAAAGTGTACACATCCGCAGAGGCACCCCTTGACAAAGGAATTAGCATAGAATTTAGCATTGAAATGGCTCATTGAAATAGCTAAGTTAAAGTATACACATCCGCAGAGGTACCCCTTGACAAAGGAATTAGCATATAATTTAGCATTGAAATGGCTCATTGAAATAGCTAAGTTAAAGTATACACATCCGCAGAGGCACCCCTTGACAAAGGAATTAGCATATAATTTAGCATTGAAATGGCTCATTGAAATAGCTAAGTTAAAGTATACACATCCGCAGAGGCACCCCTTGACAAAGGAATTAGCATAGAATTTAGCATTGAAATGGCTCATTGAAATAGCTAAGTTAAAGTATACACATCCGCAGAGGCACCCCTTGACAAAGGAATTAGCATAGAATTTAGCATTGAAATAGCTGAGTGATAAGCTGAGGTATAAGGGATCTCAAATACATACATGGTGTTTTCCTGTTAACCTAACATCTAGGTTGTCAGTCAATATTACGATTCGTAAATTTAACGTAGGTATGCAAGTTGAACTTCTTTCGCACCACCGTACGTAGCCAACCGTGCTCAATGGTCCAACGTGTGTGAAGTCCTCCCCCCACCAGCCGACACAGCCAAACCAATTAAATTACCACATGGTGGTAAAAGTGTTTCACTGTGCGCCCAACAAGATTGTTTCAGCTCACCACCGACAGTTGAGTTGAAGAACAATTCCATCAACACAAATTCAGCAATCGTATACAATGCCTATAAAGCGATATGCTAAATTTCCTTGTGACAATTGTTCTGCACCCCCACCCATACCCATGGCAAATTGTTGTTTGGCTTGCATCGTGCAGAGGAAGGATTTCACGACAGCTGTTTTTGTCAAGATAATTTCTTCGTTGCCTAACCAAAAATAAATGTGCCGTAAATATTGTTGCACCGGCTCGGTTTTCGTAGAGTTGTGTCACTGCAGAGCTCAGACAGGACGGAGAAACGCAAACCGAACACAACCCTAAAAATCACACAACTCAACGAAAGGACACGGCGCAGGGCAGGGAGAAACACGACAGGACACAGCGGTAAAAGTACACAATAACAAACGTATGTGTGCATGTGCGCGTGTGTACGTTGAACGTCTTTCACACCGTACGCAGCCGACCGCGCTAATCGTGGGGGCGCGACTAGCACAGTTGGAATGAAACGACGAGAAAAATTACAATAGCACACGGCCCAGAGGGAAAACACAACAACAACAACAAAAACAACAGAACACACACACACGCGCACGCGCGCACAACGGAAGCGCCAACACGCGTACACGCACTTGCTCTCCAACCGGATCTGGTAGCCGACGGTCTGGCCGACGCCCTCCCCTCGCTCCTCCGCCACCCTCTCGGCCGCGGCGACGGCAGAGATTCGGCGCGGCTGCGCGCAAATCACGCGGCACGGCGACCCCAGGCGGCTGCCCTCGTCCAGGATGTACTGAGGGATCTGCCGGGGGGGTGGGGGACGACACGGGCGGCGGCGCGCGCCGAGTGTTAAGCGGTGATCGGAGGCAGTCCTCAAGATCGCAATTCGGGGGTAAAAAATAAAATAATAATCCACGTTCACCCCGCTCGTCGTGGTGGTGGTCCTGGGGAAATGAGCCCGACATGCTGAATGAAGGAGCGCCGAGTTCTAGGACTGTGCTGCGAGCACCTGCGTGGTTTTGCCGGAGCCGGTCTCGCCCAGCACCAGCAGGATGTTGGACTTGGCGATGGTGCCCAGCAACTGCTCCCGGAACGCGGCCACGGGGAGGGTCTGGCGGAACGCCTCCAGCTCCGATCGCCCCCGCGGTGGCGGGACCTGAGCGATCCCGTCGTTGAGCCGTCCGCTCGGCCTGCTCGCCTCGCGTCTCGCCCCTGTGAGTGACACGCGTCGAATTGCATCAGCGTCACGGGTGCCACGGTGGCTAGATGTTGACTCCCTCGCCTGGTGTACAGGAGGTCGTGGGTTCGATCCCAACCCCGACATATGCTGCTGTATATTTGGAGTCTGTGTCTCTCTCCCTCATCATCATCATGGTGGCTAGATGTTAACTCCCTCGCCTGGTATACAGGATGTCGTGGGTTCGATCCCAACCCCGACATCTGCTGTATATTTGGAGTCTGTGTCTCTCTCCCTCGTCATCATCATGGTGGCTAGATGTTAACTCCCTCGCCTGGTATACAGGAGGTCGTGGGTTCGATCCCAACCCCGATATCTGCTGCTGTATATTTGGAGTCTGTGTCTCTCTCCCTCATCATCATCATGGTGGCTAGGAGATGTTAACTCCCTCGCCTGGTATACAGGAGGTCGTGGGTTCGATCCCAACCACGACATCTGCTGCTGTATATTTGGAGTTTGCGGTGTCTCTCTCGAATCGACGTGCGTTGAGCGTATTTGGCTGCTGCGAACGTCCACGTGATAAGCCACTTCATTCGAGCAATCATTTTGTGGCCAGGTCGCTGCTGATAAATGGCTACGCAGCTCAGCGCAGCCTTACCCGGTAAAATAATGCCTGAATAGATTAGTTGATAGAGGGCACCAATGGAGCACCACGGAAAAAAAAAAACGTCGCCGGCAACTCCAAAGCGGGAACGAACCTGGGTCAGAGCCAGTGTCGGGGAAGCGCTGCAGAAGCACACGGGCGGCGTGGCGCGCCCGTTGCGACAGCGCAAATGACATCTCGGCGCCCGCCACCTCCGCTGTCTCCTTCTTGCGCACGGTGAGGCGCTGCATCGGCCCCCCCCCTTGCTACCGAAACGCAGCGAGGAACGTGGGGGGCAGCGTTAATTTACCGGTGGGCGGGCGGGTTAGGTGGGTGGGTGGGTGTGTGGGCGTGTGGGTGTGTGGGTGGGTGGGTGGGCGAGCGGGTAGACGGATAGGTGTGCATGCAGGCGCACGGGTAGGCGTGTAGGTGGGCAAGTATATGAGTGGGTTTGCGAGTGCGTGACGAGGCAGGCAGGCAGGTAGGTAGGCATGTAGGTGGACATGCATGTGGGCAGGCAGGTGCACAGGTAGATATGGGGAGCGGTACTGTAGCGGTTAGCACGCTGCTGCGCTACGAACCCGATTCCCGCTGACGGCCAACACCAGTGACAATTATCTGAACCGATCATATGCCTCTCCTAGGTCGACTCAGCCTCAAATGATTACCGAATGCAGTATGTAAACATCGCCACTCGGGAGACGAAGGCGATCAGGCGTGGTGCCGGCCACCCACCCGTGCCGGCCCTCATAGGTGCTCGCTAACGGCACCTCCTCCAACAGCCTGTTAAGACTACACGGGGGATCTTTGTCTTGTATAGGTTGGGTGGGTAGGTGAGCGGGTACGTAGGTTAGTGCATGCGAATCACAAGCTTAGTCCGTGCTCGCCAGTTGCCTGGGTGAAAGGTTGGGCTCCGTTTTGCCCTAACGCCTGGCCAGCTGGCTTCAAAAAAACGTAACCAATGAATGAGCCGATTTTCATCGCTCCCAACTCGGCAGTGGGATGGTCTCAGGCACGTTTTCTCCTCTTGGCTGGGCCGCTGTCCCGATTAGCACGGGTGGCTACGTGCAGTGCAAAAGAGGTTCTACTAGACGTGCCCACACACTTACATTCTCTGACACTGCCCTTGGCCGTGCCTTAGAACGCCAACGCCCCGCACAATCCCGCTCGCCTCTCTCTTGACAATGTGTCTCTTACCTTTTCGTACGTTCTCTAATCAATGTGCTTTCTCTATGCCGAAAACAAACTTCTTTGAAGCTGATTTTGCGTTGAAGTTCGTTGCCCTTCCCCCACGCCTCTGGTCAGCACGGTTTGGCTACGTACGGTGCGAAAGACGCTCAACATACACACGCTCCTGTCCCTGTCTCTTAGAGTTTAATTCAGAATTTGTTCCATTACAAAGACCCCCTCCCCGTGTAGCCTGTAACAGACTGTCGGGGCAAGTGCTGTTAGGGAAGCACCTATGAAGGCCGGCACAGCAAACAAGGGGGGTGGGTGGCCAACACCACGCCCGGCCACCCTTTGTCTCCTTCGTGGCAATGTTTCCGCATCGCACCAGGTACTCATTTGAGGCTGAGTCGACCTAGGGGAGGCCCGGGAGCAGTTCAGACAATCGTCACTGGTGTTGGCCGTGAGTGGGAATCGAACCCGGGTCGCCAGGTTTGTAGCTCGGCGCACTAACCGCTACACTAACCGCTCCCCACAGGCACTCCTTGGCATACGCGAAAAGCACGCCTATCTCAAAATCGTGTATGTCAAAAGCAATGTTCCCATAAGGGGCCGTCCATAAATGACGTCACACGAGTTTGGCCGATTTTTGACCCCCCCCCCCTGCCCCCCTCGTCACACAGCGTCACAAAGTCAGACGCCCCTGAAATATGACGTCACAAAGTTCTGCCCCCCACACCCCCCAAACCATATTTCCATTTTTAAAATGAAACACGCTTCAAATCGCTTTACACTATTGTCATTGTAGTGCGTATTTAATGTGGCGCTGCACTCTGATGTTGTAGGAGAAAACATTTGTAGAATTATAAAATATTAAAAGTAATTCTATTAAAAAAATACTTGAAACTTTGCAGTAGAACGAAGCAAAATGGAGAGTACAATAATATCAATTACATATTCATTCCACAGAATGAAAAGCCCTGGTAGAATCATTAAAATCAAAATGTTTAATAACAATCATTCAAAATGTTTTTTACTAAATGTATGCATCACCATTCTCCCACGGAGAAGCGAAATGCTCCTTCATGGAATAAATAAAAGGTGACCTTAGTAAATTTAAAACATCAAATAGTTAATAATGAAAATTATTCAAAATTAGTGCCGTTATAACAATTCTATTTAATTAAGTAGATATTTAAATTTTGATTTAAAGCTTTCGTGACTGCAGTAATTCATATTCTTAGCTCTTTCGGTAAAGTCACGTTGAAGGGAAACAATAAAATAACAATATATATAAAACAATAAAAATTCTCACGACGTTTCGACCATAACGCCTGATGACGACCGTTTGTGTTATGGTCGAAACGTCGTGAGAATTTTTATTGTTTTATATATTTTTATTATTTTATTGTTTCCCTTCAACGTGACTTTACCGAAAGAGCTAAGAATATAGATATTTAAAGTTGCGCATTTTGATGTGACGTCACATTTCTCAACCCCTCCTCCCCCCCTACGTCACACATCGTCACAAACGTCTGACGCCCTCCATAGGTGCGTGACGTCATTTATGGGCGGCCCCTAAGTGATAATGATACAGGATTCGTCTTCTTTGCTTCTCTCGGTAAAGTCACCACCACCACGTGAGAGAATGAGAATAAAATAATAAAATCACGCGATACAATTCCCACGACGTTTCACGAGATGAAGGGGGTTAGGGGATTTCACCGAGACTCGCAGAGATAGTCGCCTAAGTTATCCTTGCCCATATCAATACAACGGCACACAATATACAATAGAGGGCTTCAACAAAAATGTTAACACATTACGGGGCTGTCGCTTTTAATAGAAAAAAAAGAACGAATTTTGATTTAAAGCTTCCGTGACTGCAGGGATTCATATTCTTGGTTCTTTTGGTAAAGTCACCACCACGTTAGAAGGGAAACAATGAAATAATAAAAATATAACACAATAACAATAAAATCATCTGATGATGATTGCTTGTGTTGCGGTCGAAACGTCGTGAGAATTTTATTGTTTTATATTTTGTATTATTTTATTGGTTCCCTTCTACGTGCAGGTGACTTTACAAAAAGAACCAAGAATAATAATTTTATTGTTTTACAATAATTTTATTGTTTTATATTTTGTATTATTTTATTGGTTCCCTTCTACGTGCAGGTGACTTTACAAAAAGAACCAAGAATAATAATTGTATTGTTTTACAATAATTTTATTGTTTTATATTTTTTATTATTTTATTGTTTCCCTTCTACGTGGTGGTGACTTTACCGAAAGAACCAAGAATAATAATTTTGTTTTACAATAATTTTATTGTTTTATTATTTTTATTATTTTATTGTTTCCCTTCTACGTGGTGGTGACTTTACCGAAAGAACCAAGAATAATAATTTTATTGTTTTACAATAATTTTATTGTTTTATATTTTTATTATTTTATTGTTTCCCTTCTACGTGGTGGTGACTTTACCGAAAGAACCAAGAATAATAACTTTATTGTTTTACAATAATTTTATTGTTTTATATTTTTATTATTTTATTGTTTCCCTTCTACGTGCAGGTGACTTTACCGAATTACCAACAATATGAATCCCTGCAGTCACGAAAGCTTTAAATAAAAAATATATCAATATTCATTAATTATTTCCAAGCAAACTACATTCGTGTGTTTTTCTTAAATGCATTCCGTTTAAACTTGTAACAAATATTTTTTTACGTACTGACAAATTAAAGGTTTTAATTCCACTGTGTGGTGCAATTATTAAACATTCTAACAATAACGTGCCCAACATTGTGTATACATATATTTAAAATGTGATTCACAGCAAAAAAAAATTAAGTATGCTTTTTAATGAAATACTATCAACCCAAATAAATGAACGGTTAACACACTTGCAACATGATAACAAACGTGATGTTAATATCTTCACAAAGTCAAAAAGATTATCTCTCCTCCCCACTTGTCCGCCTTCGTTGGTCAACGCGTGCCTCTGGAATCCTTCCCCAGAGACACATTTCTCGTTGAAAGTTCTCACGAGTGTCAACATTTTCTTGTTACTTTACGTTAAAATGTAAACTCTTAATATGCTTAAATTTAGATTTAAAGCTTTCGTGACTGCAGTAATTCATATTATTTTTATTGTTTTATATATATATTTTATTGCTTCCCTTCAACGTGACTTTACCGAAAGAACTAAGAATATATCTTAATATGCTTCCCGTAAAATAAAATTAAGCAACACAGTTGAGGAATACAAAGGCGGTGAACACAAGCAAATCGGACACATGCACGATCACAACGAGACGAGCAGAGGGCAAATAAGTGTTGTTGTTATTGTTGTTGTTCTTGCTACATGTGTGTGTGTGTACACTGTGTGTGTGTACACTGTGTGTACACGTGTGTGTGTGTGTACACTGTGTGTGTGTGTACACGTGTGTGTGTGTGTACACGTGTGTGTGTGTACACCGTGTGTGTACACTGTGTGTGTGTACACTGTGTGTGTGTGTACACTGTGTGTGTGTACACTGTGTGTGTGTACACGTGTGTGTACACTGTGTGTGTGTGTACACTGTGTGTGTGTACACTGTGTGTGTGTACACGTGTGTGTGTGTGTACACTGTGTGTGTGTACACTGTGTGTGTGTACACTGTGTGTGTGTACACGTGTGTGTATACACGTGTGTGTGTGTACACGTGTGTGTACACTGAGTGTGTGTACACGTGTGTGTATACACGTGTGTGTGTGTGTACACGTGTGTGTACACTGAGTGTGTGTACACTGAGTGTGTGTACACGTGTGTGTACACTGTGTGTGTGTACACTGTGTGTACACGTGTTTATCTTTAGAATGTGAAGGGGGTCACTAACACCACTTGCCCCCTACAGCCTGCGAAGGCTACACGGGGGATCTTTGTCTTTGTGTTCACGTGGCGTGTTGTTTCACGATGTCCACGCGAACGACGTTAAACACCACCACCACCACGAGTTCGATCGATCGATCATTCGATCGATTGAAGGGAAGAAATCGGCTAAAGGCCCCCAGACTTGCAGGCCCCGAAGCCGGCTTTTTTTTAGTTTCGATCGCTTTTTAAAACGAGGGGTTAATCGATTAATCTCGGTCGGTACATTTTGTATTTTGTTTGTTTTAAATGTTTAAAAGTGCGGGTGGATTAAGATGGAAGTTTAAAAAAAAACTCACTCAGTCGCAAACTCCCTCAGCCGCAAACTCCCAAGGCCAGCCGAGATCTTACAAAGTGAAGTGGAACCAAAATCGTGACGCTGACGGGCGAAACCAAATTGGTGTCAAGCTGAGGGGGGGAGGGCGAAACCAAATTGGTTACAAGCTGAGGGGTGTGGGCGAAACCAAATTGGTGTACAAGCTGAGGGGTGTGGGCGAAACCAAATTGGTTACAAGCTGGGGGGGAGGGCGAAACCAAATTGGTTACAAGTTGAGGGGTGTGGGTGTGGGCGAAACCAAATTGGTTACAAGCTGGGGGGGTGGGCGAAACCAAATTGGTTACAAGCTGGGGGGGTGGGCGAAACCAACTTGGTGACAAGTTGAGGGGTGTGGGCGAAACCAAATTGGTTACTAGCTGGGGGGGTGGGCGAAACCAAATTGGTTACTAGCTGAGGGGGTGGGCGAAACCAAATTGGTTACTAGCTGAGGGGGTGGACGAAACCAAATTGGTTACAAGCTGAGGGGGGGTGGGCGAAACCAAATTGGTTACAAGCTGAGGGGGTGGGCGAAACCAAATTGATTACAAGCTAAGGGGGTGGGCGAAACCAAATTGGTTACTAGCTAAGGGGGTGGGCGAAACCAAATTGGTTACTAGCTAAGGGGTGGGCGAAACCAAATTGGTTTCAAGCCGGGGGGGTGGGCGAAACCAAATTGGTTACAAGCTGGGGGGGAGGGCGAAACCAAATTGGTTATAAGCTGGGGGGGGTTTGTGGACGACTGTAACAGGGGGGCAGGTACAGTACTCTTGCGCGTGTTAAAGTACAGTGCGTATTAACAGGAGTCTACGGGGGGAGGGGCAGCGCTTATCAGTTCTACGGAATTCTAGCCTCGCTGTCACGTGGTCGCCTTATCCGCGCTACGTTTTCTAAACGTGCCCTGCTAAGGCCTCGCACGTGGTCGCAAACGAGCGTGGGGGTCGCGTCACCCCGGGCCCGGCGGCGCGAAACGTCGGACCTCCCCCTCCTATCAGCCCGCCGGCACCGCCACGCGAGGGAATAGTTTTTCGCGTGTAACCTCGCCAATGGCTGGCATCGGCGGAACCCGTCAGCAGGCAACGATGAGCCAGGTAGGAGGGCGCACACGGGGAGAGAGGAGAGGGGGTGGTGGTGGTGCACCACGTGGTTCACACGGTGGTGTGGTGTGTGGGTGATGTTGTTGTGTGGGTGATGTAGTGTAGGTGATGTTGTGTGTAGGTGATGTTGTTGTGTAGGTGATGTTGTTGTGTAGGTGATGTAGTGTAGGTGATGTTGTGTGTAGGTGATGTTGTTGTGTAGGTGATGTTGTTGTGTAGGTGATGTAGTGTAGGTGATGTAGTGTGTAGGTGATGTAGTGTGTAGGTGATGTAGTGTAGGTGATGTGTGTAGGTGATGTTGTTGTGTAGGTGATGTAGTGTAGGTGATGTAGTGTAGGTGATGTTGTGTGTAGGTGATGTTGTTGTGTAGGTGATGTTGTTGTGTAGGTGATGTAGTGTAGGTGATGTTGTGTGTAGGTGATGTTGTGTGTAGGTGATGTAGTGTGTAGGTGATGTAGTGTGCAGGTGATGTATTGTGTAGGTGATGTATTGTGCAGGTGATGTAGTGTGTAGGTGATGTAGTGTGTAGTTGATGTGTGTAGGTAATGTGTGTAGGTGATGTAGTGTGCAGGTGATGTGTGTAGGTGATGTGTGTAGGTGATGTAGTGTGCAGGTGATGTGTGCTGATGATGTTGTGTGCAGGTGATGTGTTGATGTTGTGTGCAGGTGATGTGTGTAGGTGATGTGTTGATGTTGTGTGCAGGTGTTGTGTGCAGGTGATGTGTGTAGGTGATGTAGTGTGTAGGTGATGTAGTGTGTAGGTGATGTGCTGATGTTGTTTGGTGTAGTGATGTAGTGTGTAGGTGATGTAGTGTGTAGGTGATGTTGTGTGCAGGTGATGTAGTGTGTAGGTGATGTTGTGTGCAGGTGATGTAGTGTGTAGGTGATGTAGTGTGCAGGTGATGTAGTGTGCAGGTGATGTAGTGTGTAGGTGATGTAGTGTGCAGGTGATGTTGTGTGCAGGTGATGTGTGTAGGTGATGTAGTGTGTAGGTGATGTAGTGTGCAGGTGATGTTGTGTGCAGGTGATGTAGTGTGTAGGTGATGTAGTGTGTAGGTGATGTATTGTGTAGGTGATGTAGTGTGTAGGTGATGTAGTGTGTAGGTGTAGTGTGTAGGTGATGTAGTGTGCAGGTGATGTTGTTGTGTGTAGGTGATGTAGTGTGTAGGTGATGTAGTGTGTAGGTGATGTTGTGTGTAGGTGATGTTGTGTGTAGGTGATGTTGTGTGTAGGCGATGTAGTGTGTAGGTGATGTAGTGTAGGTGATGTAGTGTGTAGGTGATGTAGTGTGTAGGTGATGTAGTGTGTAGGTGATGTAGTGTGTAGGTGATGTTGTGTGTAGGTGATGTTGTGTGTAGGTGATGTAGTGTGTAGGTGATGTAGTGTGTAGGTGATGTAGTGTGTAGGTGATGTTGTGTGTAGGTGATGTTGTGTGTAGGTGATGTTGTGTGTAGGCGATGTAGTGTGTAGGTGATGTAGTGTAGGTGATGTAGTGTGTAGGTGATGTAGTGTGTAGGTGATGTAGTGTGTAGGTGATGTAGTGTGTAGGTGATGTTGTGTGTAGGTGATGTAGTGTGTAGGTGATGTTGTTGTGTAGGTGATGTTGTGTGTAGGTGATGTTGTGTGTAGGTGATGTGTGTAGGTGATGTAGTGTGCAGGTGATGTGTGTAGGTGATGTAGTGTGTAGGTGATGTAGTGTGTAGGTGATGTTGTTATGTAGGTGATGTTGTGTGTAGGTGATGCACTGTGTAGGCGATGTAGTGTGTAGGTGATGTAGTGTGTAGGTGATGTAGTGTGTAGGTGATGTTGTGTGCAGGTGATGTGTGTAGGTGATGTAGTGTGTAGGTGATGTAGTGTGTAGGTGATGTTGTGTGTAGGTGATGTGTGTAGGTGATGTAGTGTGTAGGTGATGTAGTGTGCAGGTGATGTTGTTGTGTGTAGGTGATGTAGTGTGTAGGTGATGTAGTGTGTAGGTGATGTTGTTGTGTAGGTGATGTTGTGTGTAGGTGATGTAGTGTGTAGGCGATGTAGTGTGTAGGTGATGTAGTGTGTAGGTGATGTAGTGTGTAGGTGATGTTGTGTGTAGGTGATGTAGTGTGTAGGTGATGTTGTGTGCAGGTGATGTGTGTAGGTGATGTAGTGTGTAGGTGATGTAGTGTGTAGGTGATGTTGTGTGTAGGTGATGTAGTGTGTAGGTGATGTGTGTAGGTGATGTAGTGCAGGTGATGTGTGCTGATGATGTTGTGTGCAGGTGATGTGTTGATGTTGTGTGCAGGTGATGTGTGTAGGTGATGTGTGTAGGTGATGTGTTGATGTTGTGTGCAGGTGTTGTGTGCAGGTGATGTGTGTAGGTGATGTAGTGTGTAGGTGATGTAGTGTGTAGGTGATGTGCTGATGTTGTTGTGTGTAGTGATGTAGTGTGTAGGTGATGTAGTGTGTAGGTGATGTTGTGTGCAGGTGATGTAGTGTGTAGGTGATGTTGTGTGCAGGTGATGTAGTGTAGGTGATGTAGTGTGCAGGTGATGTAGTGTGCAGGTGATGTGTGTAGGTGATGTAGTGTGTAGGTGATGTAGTGTGTAGGTGATGTTGTTATGTAGGTGATGTTGTGTGTAGGTGATGTACTGTGTAGGCGATGTAGTGTGTAGGTGATGTAGTGTGTAGGTGATGTAGTGTGTAGGTGATGTTGTGTGCAGGTGATGTGTGTAGGTGATGTAGTGTGTAGGTGATGTAGTGTGTAGGTGATGTTGTGTGTAGGTGATGTGTGTAGGTGATGTAGTGTGTAGGTGATGTAGTGTGCAGGTGATGTTGTTGTGTGTAGGTGATGTAGTGTGTAGGTGATGTAGTGTGTAGGTGATGTTGTTGTGTAGGTGATGTTGTGTGTAGGTGATGTAGTGTGTAGGCGATGTAGTGTGTAGGTGATGTAGTGTGTAGGTGATGTAGTGTGTAGGTGATGTTGTGTGTAGGTGATGTAGTGTGTAGGTGATGTTGTGTGCAGGTGATGTGTGTAGGTGATGTAGTGTGTAGGTGATGTAGTGTGTAGGTGATGTTGTGTGTAGGTGATGTAGTGTGTAGGTGATGTGTGTAGGTGATGTAGTGCAGGTGATGTGTGCTGATGATGTTGTGTGCAGGTGATGTGTTGATGTTGTGTGCAGGTGATGTGTGTAGGTGATGTGTGTAGGTGATGTGTTGATGTTGTGTGCAGGTGTTGTGTGCAGGTGATGTGTGTAGGTGATGTAGTGTGTAGGTGATGTAGTGTGTAGGTGATGTGCTGATGTTGTTGTGTGTAGTGATGTAGTGTGTAGGTGATGTAGTGTGTAGGTGATGTTGTGTGCAGGTGATGTAGTGTGTAGGTGATGTTGTGTGCAGGTGATGTAGTGTGTAGGTGATGTAGTGTGCAGGTGATGTAGTGTGCAGGTGATGTAGTGTGTAGGTGATGTAGTGTGCAGGTGATGTGTGCAGGTGATGTTGTGTGTAGGTGATGTAGTGTGTAGGTGATGTAGTGTGCAGGTGATGTTGTGTGCAGGTGATGTAGTGTGTAGGTGATGTAGTGTGTAGGTGATGTATTGTGTAGGTGATGTAGTGTGCAGGTGATGTAGTGTGTAGGTGATGTGTGTAGGTGATGTAGTGTGTAGGTGATGTAGTGTGTAGGTGATGTAGTGTGCAGGTGATGATGTGTGTAGGTGATGTAGTGTGTAGGTGATGTAGTGTAGGTGATGTTGTGTGTAGGTGATGTAGTGTGTAGGTGATGTGTGTAGGTGATGTTGTGTGTAGGTGATGTAGTGTGTAGGTGATGTTGTGTGCAGGTGATGTTGTGTGCAGGTGATGTAGTGTAGGTGATGTTGTGTGTAGGTGATGTTGTGTGTAGGTGATGTAGTGTGTAGGTGATGTAGTGTGTAGGTGATGTAGTGTGTAGGTGATGTAGTGTGCAGGTGATGTTGTGTGCAGGTGATGTAGTGTGCAGGTGATGTAGTGTGCAGGTGATTTGTGTAGGTGATGTGTGTAGGTGATGTGTGTAGGTGATGTGTGTAGGTGATGTAGTGTGCTGGTGTTGTTGTGTGCAGGTGATGTGTGCAGGTGATGTGTTGATGTTGTGTGCAGGTGATGTGCTGATGTGTGTAGGTGATGTGCTGATGTTGTTGTGTGCAAGTGATGTGCTGATGTTGTGTTGGGTGATGTGTGTAGGTGATGTGTTCAGGTGATGTTGTGTTGGGTGATGTGTGCAGGTGATGTGTGCAGGTGATGTAGTGTTTGGTGATGTGTGTAGGTGATGTACTGATGTGTGCAGGTGATGTGTGCAGGTGATGTGCTGATGTTGTGTGCAGGTGATGTGTGTAGGTGATGTACTGATGTGTGCGGATGATGTGTGTAGGTGATGTGTTGATGTTGTGTGCAGGTGATGTGTGTAGGTGATGTGCTGATGTTGTGTGCAGGTGATGTGTGTAGGTGATGTACTGATGTAGTGTTGGGTGATGTGTGTAGGTGATGTACTGATGTTGTGTGCAGGTGATGTGTGTAGGTGATGTGTTGATGTTGTGTGCAGGTGATGTGTGTAGGTGATGTACTGATGTAGTGTTGGGTGATGTGTGCAGGTGATGTACTGATGTTGTGTGCAGGTGATGTGTGTAGGTGATGTGTTGATGTTGTGTTGGGTGATGTGTGTAGGTGATGTGCTGATGTTGTGTGCAGGTGATGTGTTGATGTTGTGTGCAGGTGATGTGTGTAGGTGATGTACTGATGTAGTGTTGGGTGATGTGTGCAGGTGATGTACTGATGTTGTGTGCAGGTGATGTGTGTAGGTGATGTGTTGATGTTGTGTTGGGTGATGTGTGTAGGTGATGTGCTGATGTTGTGTGCAGGTGATGTGTTGATGTTGTGTGCAGGTGATGTACTGATGTGTGCAGGTGATGTGTGCAGGTGATGTACTGATGTGTGCAGGTGATGTGTGTAGGTGATGTGTTGATGTTGTGTGCAGGTGATGTGCGGATGTAGTGTTGGGTGATGTGTGCAGGTGATGTACTGATGTTGTGTGCAGGTGATGTGTGTAGGTGATGTGTTGATGTTGTGTTGGGTGATGTTTGTCGGTGATGTGCTGATGTTGTGTGCAGGTGATGTGTTGATGTAGTGTTGGGTGATGTGTGCAGGTGATGTGTTGATGTTGTGTTGGGTGATGTGTGCAGGCTGAATTTGTAGAAGAAGTGGATGCGCTCTCCATCGTAATGAATCGGATGGGGAAGGATTTATTTCACATGGGCTACTACCTTGAAGCCCTCAAAATCTACGAGGAGGCTCTGTCCCTGCAACTCTGCCACTCCGCCTCTGTCGGCAGGTATCGTCAAATGCAGACGCATATCGTGACATCTAACGGGCAGGTTCCAAATGGAATTTGTGACATCTCAGCTTGGTCACACGCGTACGTCGTCACGGGATTGCCCCGGCGTTGACAATAATAATAATCAACGTGGTTAAATTTCGATTTGAAGCTTTCGTGACTGCAAGGATTCATCTTCTTTGGTTCTTTCGGTAAAGTCACCACCACCACCACGTAGAATGAGAATAAAATAATAAATTGATAAAATAAAATAACACAATAATAATATTCTCACTACAGCGCTGTCCTACCAGACACAGTCTCGTCCCCTTCGCCTGATGAAGGCCGCTTGTGTTGTGGCCGAAACGTCGTGTTAGAATATTATTATTGTGTTATTTTATTTTATCAATTTATTATTTCATTCTCATTCTACGTGGTGACGGTGGTGACTTTACCGAAAGAACCAAAGAAGAATAATCAATGTGGTGGCGCTGATCGGCTGGAGGTCACAACGTGAGATTGTTACAGGGTCAAGGAACGCGGTCGCGAGGTAGCAGCTGCTGTGCGTTGTGCGATGGAGACTCGGCGCTTGTTGCGCAACCATCCCGAGTCGGGATTTTATTTGAACTTTGATTTGCTGACTCCTCACCCCCCCCTTCCCTCAACCGCCTGGGATAAGAAGGCTCAACTAATCGAGTCTCTCACCTTTCTGAAGAGATGCCGCGACTCTAAGCTGTCTCTCTCCCCCTCCTCTGTTCCGACCATGGATGAACTCGTCCGTCTGAACGGGGCCCGTAGCTATCCGTGGTGCTAAAGTTGAGGGCGCTTTGTTTCCTCTCACACAGCTTAAAAGTCGTGATCTGAACGTGGCTCTTTCACTCCAGCGCTGTCCTACCAGACAGTCTCGTCCCTTCACCTGATGAAGGCCGCTTGTGTTGTGGCCGAAACGTCGTGAGAATTTTATTGTGTTATTTTATTTTATCAATTTATTATTTTATTCTCATTCTACGTGACTTTACCGAAAGAACCAAAGAAGACGCCTGCTTCACGTTTCAGGGCAAGTGCTCCTTTGATCGCTATCAAAGGGGTAACTTATCCCAGCCCCTCCCTTAACCTGTGTATATATAATCCAGGTCGTCTCTAAACTGTGCTCCCGACACAGATATTCTGCGTTGACTTTTACACCCGAAGACGGAAGCTCGTGTTGCCTCCGAAACGTCCGTGATTTAATTGTTTTGTCTTATTTCGTTTTATCTACGCGACTTTACCGAATGAAACCAAAAGAGTTATGAATCCTTGCAGTCACGAAAGCTTCAAATCTAGAATTTGATTTGAAGCTTTCCGTGACTGCAAGGATTCGTGCTCTTTGTTTTTTTGCGGTAAAGTCCCACGTTAGGTAAAAAAATAAAATAATGAAAACGACTAAAAATGAAATCGCGACGTTTCGGAGGCAACACAAGCTTCCGTCTTGTTTATGAATACCACGAAACATTTTAATAGTAATTGTTTTAACAGAAAGTAGTCACTTTTGACTGTTTATTTACCATGCATTAGGCTAGGCCTAGACTTGTACCGATCATTCTTGGCTGAGACCAAAAACAATCAGTGTAATTGCATTAAATAAAGTACCCACAGTAAATAACTCGTGAAATTAACTTAAAGTGAAGAGAACTACCAATAGAGACAGGCACCGAGGGTAGACAAAGGAATACAGAGATACAGGAGAGACAGCAAGACAAAATACAAAGGCAAAGATCCCCCGTGTAGCCTTAGCAGACTGTAGTGGCAAGTGCTGTTAGCGAGCACCTACGAAGCCGGCACCGCACAAGAGGGGGTGGGTGGCCAGCACCACGCCCGACCGCCTTTGTCTCCCCAGTGGCGATGTTTACTACACACCACACCAGGTACTCATTTGAGGCTGAGTCGACCTAGGAGAGGCCCAGGACCGGTTCAGATAATCGTCACTGGTGGTGGCCGTGACTGGGAATCGAACCCGGGTAACTGAGTTCATGGCACAGTGCCACCAACCACTACACATAGAGACAGGCATCAGCTGGGTCCGAGATGTAATAACGGGTGATAATGCTTCCCCTTGTAGGCCAGGCCTATGCCAGGAGGTGTTTGTGCTTTCGTGGGATGAACTGTTGCATTGGCAGTAAATGCCCTTTAAAAAAAAAAACTAGAGACCTTTGCTGTAAATCATGACATTCATTCATTAATCGCTGCGAGTGGATTTCAGTGAAACAAACCCCGAGTCGTGGCATTAAGCGACAGCTGACGTGTGACTCCTGGCAGAGTTGTTTCCCTGCTCTTCTGCAACATGGCCATGACTTACGTCAAGTTGGGGAGATTCGAAGATGCTGTGACCATGTCGTGCAAGTCCATCGACGCTGACCGGCAATGGTGCAAGGTATTCATTGCAGGCGGCAAGCCACACCTTTGCACGAGTCATCATCATAGTCAACAACGCGAATTGTCGTCTGTGTAAATATGTACGCTGGTCAGATGCTACGTTAATTCATATTTGGTATAATCCTTTTGGCATTGCCAACTGCTTTTCAAATGCATTTGGAAGTTGTGCCATCATGTGCCCCCCCCCAACGGAATTTGTTTTACAGCCCCCAGGGAGAGATAGGCCCACTCAACAGCAATGTGGGATGTCACGCAGACGGGGAGTTGAGGGAAACACAGCCACACACACACACACAGAGAGAGAGAGACGGGAGGGACACACAGAGACAGACAAAAATCTAGACACGTATCAAATATTTCCTAGATAACCTGCATATGCTGTTGGTGCACGTGCTCCGACCAAGCACCTTCTCTAAGGCTGGCACAGCCCCGGCGAAGGCGATCGTGTTACGTGTGGAGTAAGCGTCTCAGCGGTTTAGCGCGTTGCTCTTAACGACCCCACCACCTGTGTTCAACGTCCACCCACAGTTAAAACTGTCGTGAGAGATATCCACACTTGTCCTGGGCCCTTGCCCCGGTGTACAGGGTAGTCCCCGACTCACGACGGAGATGCGTTACGACGACCCCCCCATCGTAAGTCGAAAAATGGCCTAGCCCTACCCAAGAGTCTCAAGAAATGGTGATAATTTAGCATAACAGAGCAATTTACAGTACCGTACTGTATAAACTATATAGTGTATGTATTTATTAATTACTATACTGTGTTGCACAGTAAAATTAAAAGTAAAAAACAAGGTAAATTCTTTGCCTACCCACATGAACTGCAATTTCATAGAAAGTTTTTTTCAGGAAACAATCCCACACTCATTGCCAACACCAGTGACCATTATCCGAACCGTTCCTGGGCTTCCGCCGAGTTCGATTCGACCTCAAATGAGTACCTGGTGCATTGTGTAAATAATCGCAACTTAGGGAGACACGGGCAGCCCAGCATGGTGCTGGCCACCCACCCCCTCGTGTGCCACGCTGGTCTTCATAGGTGGTTTGCAAAACAGCACTTTCCCCAAAAGTCTGTTGAGGCTCCAAGGGGGGATCTTTGTCTTTGTGTGCAGGGTTACTATCAGCTGGGCACGGCGCTCGCTGGGCTGGGCGAGGCAAAGGAAGCAGTCGCTGCGCTGCAACATGGCCTGGCTGTCCTGCTTGTCTCCTCTGGCCACACCGTCAACCTCACCGTTGAATTCCTCATGGAAATGTTCAAGGCCATGAACCGTTAGTATGCCTTGGGATCATTAGGCGCAATGTCATACGGTTTGTGGGCACACTTACCGCAACACAGGCACGTGTGGTTTTAGATACAGAGGTCACCTCCTAGATGATGTGGATTTGTGTAGCGTGCATCTAAATGTGATTTGATCTCTTAGGCACGTGTGGTTTTATATACAGAGGTCACCTTCTAGATAATGTGGATCTGTGTAGCGTGCATCTAAATGTGATTTGATCTCTTAGGCACGTGTGGTTTTAGACACAGAGAGGTCACCTCCTAGATAATGTGGATCTGTGTAGCGTGCATCTAAATGTGATTTGATCTCTTAGGCACGTGTGGTTTTAGATACAGAGGTCACCTCCTAAATAATGTGGATCTCTGTAGCGTGCATCTAAATGTGATTTGATCTCTTAGGCACGTGTGGTTTTAGACACAGAGGTCACCTCCTAGATAATGTGGATCTGTGTAGCGTGCATCTAAATGTGATTTCATCTCAAGGTTCTGTAAGTGGACGGTGCGCGTTGTTATTTTGTACACATTGGGAACGCACACACACGAACACCGCATTCCTCACTCGAAGCTGACACACACATGGACGTATGATCAACACGCACACGAACGCCACTTTTCTCACCAGCAGCTGACGCACGTTTACACACGCGCACACACGCGCACACACAAATGGTAGTTTTTTTCACGTAAATGTTCCCTTCGTTTTTACACCCTACGGTGTGACATTGCTACGTTTTTGTCTTTTACGTATGCTCCCACGCTTGACTTGGTGGCCTTTCTGTCTGTGTTGGCCGCAGGCAAGACCGACAACAAGAGCCTGTTCGTAGGGGTTCTCCGCATGCTTCAAGAAGAACCGCTGCTGCACACGGAGAAAGTGTGGCAACAGCTGCTGCGCGAGATGGCAGAGCAGGGCCTCTGGAAGGCACGTGCGGCCGACCGCGAGTCGCGCACGCCAGTCGTGTCTGATGCCCCTACGGGCGCGGCGGCATCTCCCGCTCGGCCTCGTGGGATCGTGTCACGCGTCTGCTGAGAGCAAGGCGACGTTTGCGGGCACCCTGGAGCATCGTACGGCACAACGACGGGGGTTTTACGGCGCTCCGTTCTGCCGTCAGCTTGGCGCGTGTGAATTGGCACGCGCAGCGTTCGCGCCGTCTTGGACGCGCGCGAATGCTCAACGAGCGGCGTTTTAATGTTGCGCGATCCGTTCGATGCACGCGCAGTTCCCGTAGTGATCGTGCCCTGTTCGAATTAACGGCGGTGTTTTCCAACGACTCGTGCTGGTTTTAACCTGGCTGACGTTAATGCTTGGGGGGGGGGGGGGGATAGCCCTCATGTCGTGGAACGTGTGTGGGTGATGTTGGTTTTTATTTGTGTCCGGTGTGCAAATAACAGGAGATGTACATAGTGGCGTGTACGCCCGATGACCTCCGACCCCTAAATTCTGTGGTGGGAGTGGAGCCGGCGTCATTAGTGAGTCTCTACTCCCTCTTTCAGGTGGGTCGATGAGTTTGCGATGTGGCCGTAGAATGTTTCTGGTCATACCCCTGTCATTACCTCCCGTAGCCACCAGTCCCTTCACACTCATAACTGATACCCCTGTCATTATCTCCTGTAGCCACCAGTCCCTTCACACTCATAACTGATACCCCTGTCATTATCTCCTGTAGCCACCAGTCCTTTCACACTCACAACTGATACCACTGTCGTTACCTCCTGTAGCCACCAGTCCCTTCACACTCACAACTGATACCCCTGTCGTTACCTCCCGTAGCCACCAGTCCCTTCACACTCACAACGGATACCCCTGTCATTACCTCCCGTAGCCACCAGTCCCTTCACACTCACAGCTGACTCCCCCTGTCGTTACCTCCCGTAGCCACCAGTCCCTTCACACTCACAACTGATACCCCTGTCGTTACCTCCCGTAGCCACCAGTCCCTTCACACTCACAACTGATACCCCTGTCATTATCTCCCGTAGCCACCAGTCCCTTCACACTCATAACTGATACCCCTGTCATTATCTCCTGTAGCCACCAGTCCCTTCACACTCACAACTGATACCACTGTCATTACCTCCTGTAGCCACCAGTCCCTTCACACTCACAACTGATACCACTGTCATTACCTCCCTGTAGCCACCAGTCCCTTCACACTCACAACTGATACCCCTGTCCATTATCTCCTGTAGCCACCAGTCCCTTCACACTCACAACTGATACCACTGTCATTACCTCCCTGTAGCCACCAGTCCCTTCACACTCACAACTGATACCCCTGTCCATTACCTCCTGTAGCCACCAGTCCCTTCACACTCACAACTGATACCCCTGTCATTACCTCCCGTAGCCACCAGTCCCTTCACACTCACAACTGATACCCCTGTCATTACCTCCTGTAGCCACCAGTCCCTTCACACTCACAACTGATACCCCTGTCATTACCTCCCGTAGCCACCAGTCCCTTCACACTCACAACTGATACCACTGTCATTACCTCCCGTAGCCACCAGTCCCTTCACACTCACAACTGATACCCCTGTCATTACCTCCTGTAGCCACCAGTCCCTTCACACTCACAACTGATACCACTGTCCTTACCTCCTGTAGCCACCAGTCCCTTCACACTCACAACTGATACCCCTGCCATTACCTCCCGTAGCCACCAGTCCCTTCACACTCACAACTGATACCCCTGTCATTACCTCCCGTAGCCACCAGTCCCTTCACACTCACAACTGATACCCCTGTCATTACCTCCTGTAGCCACCAGTCCCTTCACACTCACAACTGATACCCCTGTCATTACCTCCCGTAGCCACCAGTCCCTTCACACTCACAACTGATACCCCTGTCATTACCTCCTGTAGCCACCAGTCCCTTCACACTCATAACTGATACCCTTGTCATTACCTTCCGTGGCCACTAGTGCATTCGCACTGTAGGCTGACTCAACCTGTCGGTGATTGTTCATAAGGTCATGCAAAATAGTCAAAACCTTTTTTACCCTGAGCTGCATTGCCATGTAGTCGTATGTCCTCGTCAAAGTTAAGTTTAATACCATGATCAAGAATATTCATATGCGGTGGCTGTCATTATCAACGTTTCGACTCCAATCACCAGGATGTATTCTAAATTAATGTTCAGATACTGAGTGTGGCCAGTTCCCTGTCTTGGGCACAGTTCAAACAGCAGGGTATGGCCTCTCTGGTGATGCCTGTGCTCGAGGAAGGAGTTTCCCAGGTTCACGTGAACTTGTTATCATTCCAAGCCACCAAGCCTGTTCGATTTCCAACTACTGTGCTAATTTATTTTTTGCTGCATCTGTTTTTTTTAACTCTTGGAACTCAAAGATAACACACAAATGTCTACAAGGGACAGACAAGATCGCATTTTTTAAATTCTTTTTTGGAAAAGTCAAATATACAGCAGCCTCTAACGCGTGATTATTCTCTAATCGACGTTGTTCCCTCTCCCTGTCTCTCGGTGCATTCCAACGGATGTCTCGCTGTGATTTTTTGCGTAATTTCCAGCTTTTATTTTCCGGTGTTTTCCCAGCGGCTCTCTGCGTTTCTCATCCGTGTCTTATTAGGCGGTGATTGTGATCTAAGCAACCTGCCGGGTGGCTCAGTGGCAGAGCAAACGGCTCCCAGTTAGAGGGCTGTGAGTTCTAATCCTGGTTGGGAGTTCACTTCACCCATCATCATCACCCCTCAACCGTTTGATAACAAAGCAATCATCATCAGCTGTGAAAACCACAGCAAGAAAATTTGAAAAAAAAAAATTCTTGCTGTGGTTTTCACACCTGATGATGATTGCTTTTGTGTTGCAGTCGAAACGTCGTGAGAATTTTATTTCGATTTAAAGCTTTCGTGACTGCAATGATTCATCTTCTTTGGTTCTTTCGGTAAAGTCACGTATTTTATTGTTTCCCTTCTACGTGGTGGTGACTTTACCGAAAGAACCAAGAATATGAATCTCTCTCTGCAGTCACGAAAGCTTTAAATCAAAACTTTAAAATGAGCAACCACTTTGTGAGGATGTCAGCGGCAGTTGGCGTGTGGATCGACTCGCCCTCCCACCGTAGAAACGCAGAGTTTACACCGCTGGCTAGGGCCGTGAAACAGCAGATGAGCACCGCTTCAACTAATTTGGGGTAGGCAAATCACTTTTGACTTAACCTAAGCGAGAACGGTTTCAAGGGAGGAGACCCGTGGTGAACTGGCGTGTGGAGGGCCCTCCCGTGTACTTTTTGACCAGTGTCCTCTTGCCACAGCTGCTGGCCCCGGGTCAAGAGAAGTGGATCGCCGTTTTGGTCACGTGGCTCCTCAGCCACGGCGCGAAGCCCGCCTCCATCGGCGCCAACCCCTTGCACGCCGCGATGATCCTCATCCTTTACAAGGGCATTGATGGTAAGTAGCAAGAAGTGCGCGGTGATTCTTCGAGGTGCGCAAGTGGGAAACGCGTAAGAGTGTGTGTTAACCCAGGGGTGCTATTGTATTGCACGTATGTTTAATTAATTTTGCGCCGTTATGTGTGGTGGGTTCTGGAGACACTTTGGATAGGCAACTTCTTTATTACAGTACATAGTTCATAGTTAGTTCATAGTTCATTTATTTGGTATAGCCCTGTGAGCCATTCGGCTCTTGAATCGGGTGCAACCGCAACAAACAAAAAACATGAACAAGAAAACATCTTAAAGTGACTTTGTGTTGACTGTGCAAACAGAAAATACAGGAACAAAAATATCAAAATATTCCTGAAATAGCACCGTACACCAACGCTGTGTGCAAAAATCCCAGTGGGATGCAAGTCAAATAACAACAACAACAACAACCACAAGACAACTAAGATTAAGGCCATCAGTCTAACTCCGCCACGTGGCGGTGAGCGGCCGTCTACGGGCAAACTGGCCGGCACGTCAGTTCGCCACCCGGGCCACGTCGCGGGCTCGGCGCCTGCTTAGCTCGCGAGAACCGACAGGGTCGGGAGGCGCGCCTCCGGGCGATTGGCGCAGAGAACCGCGTTTCTCAGGAGCTGCTTATCGGTTTGCGCCGTGTTTTTTTATCTGTCGCCAGACGAAGAGGGGCTGCGCGTCCTGAAGCTGCTCTTGGAGAAAGCCCCGAACGTCAACGCGAGGGACGCGGGCGGCAACTCCCTGCTGCACCTCGTCTTCTCTTCGCCGCCCTCGAAGCGCCACGACGAGATACTGCGCCTGCTCGCCGCGTGCCGCGTCGACGGCGCGTGCCGCAACAAGGCGGGGAGGCGCGCGTTCTGGGGCGTCGGGCCGAAAGACCCCCGCGTGCGGACGTGGAACAGCCTCGCCCGCGAGCAGAAAGGCGGCGGCGGCGGCGGGAGCGGACGCGACGGCGGGAGACGCAGGCGCCCGCCGGAGCGCAGGAGGGCGGCCGGGCCCGAGGCGCTCGCCTCCGATCCCGTGGGCGAAACGGTCGAGGAGGCGGGGGAGGACGACGACGGCGACGACGGCGACGTGGAAAAAGTGGACGCCGCGAAGGAGGATGCGGTCAGTTTGGCCCGAGACGCCTTGGCCCGAGAAATCGAAGGGCTCATCGAGGAGTACGACCCCGCGGAGACGCGGGCGGCGAGATCCGCGGAGCCGGCGTCTCCCGCGCCGACGGCCGCCGAGCCGCCCCCGAGCGTCGCCGAACGCCAAGCCGGCGGCGGCGGCGGCGGCGGCCCTCCGGATGCGCCCGACGAAGCGGACGGTTTGTCCGACGGCGAAGACGCCCGCGACGAGGACGGTGTCGGGGACGGCGGCGGCGACGACGACGGTGACGATGGCACGGCGGGCCCTGACTTCGAATCGCTGACCTGGGAGATCGAGTGCACTCGCGACGCCCTCAGAACCCTCAACGACAAGAGCCTCCCGCGCGCCGCGAGGAGGAATATCGTGAGGGTGATTTACTCGCTGGGCAACGGTGACTGGCACCTTCACCGCATCAAGAAAGTGAAAGGCGTCGCCGAGTCCAGCGAGATCAGGCTGTTTGAGGCCAGGGTAGACAGGGCCGCCAGGCTGCTTTGGGAATTGGCGATCGACTTTTCGCCACGTTGCAGTGCCAAGCCCGAGAAAATCACCGGCTCCGAAGAGTCTGCTTCGGGAGGAGAGACGACTGGAGAAGTCTACAGCGAGATCATCCGCATTTGGGACATTGTCCTTGATCACAAGCAACTCGACCACAGAATAAAGAGGATCATTTCCTCCTGCGACCGTGGGACGTCCTGCTCGCTCCGCCGCAAGCTGAAGGGCATCGAGCGAGCATCGTTCCCCTCGCAGCAGAACGTGCGGCGGAGGTACCCGCTGCTCTTCGTCAAGGCGGGCGGCTCCGCCGGTGCCCGGCCCGTGTCGGCGGAAGCCCGGGATTACTTTCCTCCGGCGAGCACGATGGAGAACGAGTACAACATCGAGAAGTTCCACACCTTCGGCACGACCGTGGCGCTCAACGTCCTGCGCTGCCCCGAGCAGACGATCGAATACCCGTTCCGCGTGGGAGAGCTGGAGCACGCGGTCATCAACCTGAACCCCACGCCCTCGGAAGCCATCATCCTCGTTGGCCGCTCGGGCACCGGCAAGACCACGTGCCTGATGTACCGGCTGTGGAACACGTTCGACAGGTATTGGCAGACGACCGCGCTCCGGGGAGAGCCGTGGATCCCGAAGGCCGCGCTTCCGCCGCCTCCGTTGCCGGACGACGCGGGAGTCGGGGAGGACGTTGCGTTTGACTGCCCCGTGAAGAACGGCTGTGTAGGTGATACCGGCCGAAAGGGAACGCGCGAGCCGGAACGAGAAGCTTGCCTCCATGCTTCAGAGCTTTTCGACGTCGACCGAGGAAATGATTTCTTGGAACCTGCGGCCGAGCTCGGTGCCGCACGGCTCGCAAGTCACCAGCCCGAGGGAGGCGCCGCTCCAATTTGTGAACATCTTCATCAGCTGTTTGTCACCAAGAACCACGTGCTGTCTCGAGAGGCGCAAAGGAACTTTGTGGAACTGTCCAAATCTACCGCCGGCACCCGGCACTACTCGCCCGTTGACATCAGCGGCGTGTACAGGCTCCAGGACGTCAAAGACGAGAACTTTCCGCTCTTCTTGAACTCGCGACAACTCCTCCTGCTGCTCGACGCGTCGCTCGCGAACCCGTTCTTTGCCAGGAACGGAGACGGGAGCTTAAAGGAAGCCGTCCGCGGGTGGTCCATGGACGACGACATTTTGGGCCTCGGCGACGCAGAAGACGCGATGGAAGAGGATCCTGACGACGAGGAAGACCACCGGGCGGACATCGGCAAACTTCACGAATCCAAAAAAGAGGACCCCAGGAAGTTCGTGACGTACGAAGTGTTCACGAGCGACATCTGGCCCGCCATGGTGAAGGGGAAGAGCCCGTATAACCCTGCCACGGTGTGGATGGAGATCAAGTCTTTCGTAAAGGGCTCCGTGGAGGCCCTCCAGAGCCCCAACGGGGTCCTCGGTTTGGAGCACTACGAGGAGCTGGGCCGGAAGCGGGCGCCAAACTTCACCGGGGACCGTGGCGAGGTGCATCGGCTGTTCCGCGCCTACCAGCACGTCAAGTCCCAGAGGTGCTTCTTTGACGAGGAGGACCTGGTGTTCCACATCTACTCTCGCCTCTGCCGGCTCGAGGTCACGCCTTGGTCAATACATGAGCTCTACGGGGACGAGATCCAGGACTTCACGCAGGTGCAAAATCAACCGTGCCGGTGCACGCGTTAAGTCGGTCGGAATCGGAACGTTTATTTGCATTGGAGGAATCCGATGAGCTATGAAGCTAAATTTTGATTTAAAGCTTTCGTGACTGCAGGGATTCATATTCTTGGTTCTTTCGATAAAGTCACCACGTTGAAGGGAAACGATAAAATAATAAAAATAAAACCATCACGACGTTTCGACTGCAACACAAGCAATCATCATCAGGTGTGAAAACCACAGCAAGAAAATTTGAAAAAAGTGGCGTTTTTTTCTTAACGTCAGCACCACGCAGAGCGATTTGACAAGTTTGTTCAGATGGACGAGTCCATCTATGTTTGGAAAAGAGGAGGGGGGAGACGAAAATAATGGATGCGGTCTGAAAGCCACCGTAAGCGTGAACAATCAATTAAGACCCGAAATGAAAGGACTTTACCGAAAGAACCAAGAATATGAACTATAAAGCTCTTTTTTTTACAGATCTCCAGATCTCAGGGCACATTTGGAGATGTGTTCCTGATTTTTGGATGCATCTGAAAAATTATGAAAATTGGTACCTAGATAAGAATTTCGGACGAGATCAGAATTTACATCATTAGACCTCCTTTGCCAGTACCAAAATAAAATAATAGGGTTTTCCCCTTTTTTTTCTGGCAACAAAACTGAAACCTTTTTACAAGGATTAATGTTACTGCATTAACCACAATACCTGCAGTCAAAATGCAAACAAAAAACACACACTATGATAATATATGTGGCATTGTCCTTGAAACTGATTGGTCCACACCAAGGGACGAGCTTGATGATTCGCTACCGCCTTAGTGCTGCGTGGTTAGCGAATCATCAAATAACACGTTATTTAAATGCGTGCCTACAAAGAGCAGCGTACTTCAATAGGGATTGCCATTGGTAGGGCTATTTTAATAAACAATGAATAATAAAGAGGAAGGACAAGTTCAAAGGCCTCGCATAATGCACATGCATAATGTACGTTGCCTCAGTAATCCCCCCCTCCTCCCTCTTCCCTCAATTGTGCAAGAGCCCAGCTGCGTGGTCAACACATCTATGCCTCTATATAAGGAACGGAACAGTAAGACTTTTCCACAAATCTGGCTGTTGCCTGATGAAGCTAATTGTAATTACTGGCGAAACGTCACGGTACTCAGACTGTAAATGTTGTGGCTTGGCTCTCCAACGCACAACCGGTGTGCTGTACTAGTACACAACACTATACACTACACTACTATACACTACACTATACACTACACTATACACTACTATACACTACACTATACACTACATTATACACTACACTACTATACATGACACTACACACTAGTGCTGTACTAGTGATGAATTGGCCACGTTCTGTTTACGTGACAATCCTTACTAGTTGGCTGTTTTGACGACACATTTATATATTTACGCGATTTAACCCAAAAACCTCTATTACGGATGATATTGGTCGCGAAAGCCTACGTGACGTGTTAAACTGCATTGCGCACGTGTGGATTCTTGTATTTCACCACGGTGACCCACAGAGCATTAACCGGGTCCATAACTAAATAGCAAGGTTAGGGAGGTGTACAGCACGCCATTGGTGAAAATAACCAGGAGCGACGGGCCAAAGTGTGAAGCAACACTTGGGAATCAAAAAGAGCGGAACAAACGTCTCCCACAAAATAAAAACGCTGAGATAGACCCTGGGCCGGGACATCCGGCTAGGACGTCGGGGGACTGACGGGCGAGACTAACGGCGGAGTAGAGGTTCCAAGGAAGGAGAAAGCGGTGTAGACAGACGACGGCGATTCGGAGAAGCGACGGCGAAGAGCCGCCGACACCGCCGGGAGGCGTTTGCCCAGCAGCGGGAGGACGTTGACGGTGGAGAGACGACGGCAAAGTAGGTGCCGACTGACCGAGCGCCGTCACCTGCGACCGCCGCCCCCCCTTCGCCCCCTCCACCCACCACCACTCCACCGTGTCCCGTGCGCAGGCCGAGCTGGCGTTGCTCATGCGCTGCTGCGCCGACCCCAACGCCATGTTCCTCACGGGGGACACGGCCCAGAGCATCGTGCGCGGCGTGGCGTTCCGTTTCAGCGAGCTGCGTTCGCTCTTCCACTTCGCCAGCCTCCCGCCAAGCGGCGGCGGCGGCGGCGCGGCGCGTCGCTCGCGCATCGACGTGCGCAAGCCCAAGCGTCTGTACGAGCTCTGCCAGAACTACCGCTCGCACTCGGGTGAGCGCCCGCGAACACGTACAGGCCTGCGCCTGGGCGGGGGGGGGGGGGGGCAGGCGGGTGGCACGCCGAGCCGCCGTCGCTGCCACCGAGGTCCGGGTCTGCGGATGTCCCCGGCGCGAGGTACGCGCCCTTGGGGGGGGCGTCCGCCCGTGTTCGGTGACTCTCCTTGGCTCCGTGTGGCAGAGTCGGCTTGAGCGAGCTGGTTGGACTCGGGCTCTGAACCGGCATCTAATGAATCCGCTGTGGTTATTGGGGAAGGGCCCTTTTTTGCCGTACACCGCCGCCCTTCCGTGAATGCAGCCGGGAGCAAAACTAGTCGGGCTCATTGAACGGTGAAGCCTGCAGCAGATAGTTTAACATGGAGGCTTTTCGCAACCATTATTAGATTGCGTAAATGTGAAAATGCGTCATTAAACCCACCACCACCCAACACAGCAAATTGGTAAGGTTTGTCACGTAATCAAAACGTGCCAATTAGTTACTGCTGCTGAGTATCGCCGGTTCTCGTAATGCTATTAAAAACGCGACAACCTCGGCGCAAAGTCAAGCCGCGCCTTCTTCTCAGGTCGGGACCACGAGTTTAAACACTTGGTCCGTTAACACGCGGCCTCCGCACGATCCCCCCCCCCCACGTAACCACCGCCGGTCCTTCCTCTCCCACGTGCCCCCTGCGTCCCTTCGCGCCAGGCATCCTGGCGTTCGCCTCCAGCGTCGTGGACCTGCTCCAGCACTTCTTCCCCGAGTCGCTGGACTGGCTGCCACGGGACCAGGGGCTGTTCGCGGGGCCGCTGCCCGTCCTGCTCGACTCGTGCAGCTCCGAGGACCTGGCCATCCTGCTGCGAGGCCACCAGCGCCGCGCCCAGCCCATAGAGTTCGGGGCGCACCAGGTTTGTTTGCCATTGGGCGGCGGAGGTCGGCTTTGTTTTTTTTGTCATCTGTAATCCGTGTACAACCTGGTGGAAACCGGTATGAAACCGGTATAAAGCGGTCTGAACCGGTTTTCGGCACGTGTAGATATCTGCAGCAGTAAACGTAACCTTTTAAACTCGGGAACGAAGGGAGCTGCCTGCCGCGGTGGGTGTCATAGGCAGCACGCTGGACTTGCAATCCAGCGGTCGTTGATTCCGGGGCACAGCAGCTGCAACAATGGAGCAGGTTTTTCAAATCCCTCCCCTCCCCCACTATCCACTCTGCAATACACACGGGCACACCGCAGTCGACTGGCAGGTTACGCGTGGTGGGATCAAGTGAGGGTACGCCTCCTCCTTCCAAGACGTTAGCTTAGGAGACAATGCCAGATACCCTCTATTGGAAGCCCTTCTTCCGGAAGTGGCATGAGCAATAAATCAATTGCAGGGCTTGCCCCTCTATCTCTTTTCGACCCAGTAACTAGGACAAATGTAACCGAGGGGTGATCTAGGCCGCCGTGAGGTTTGTACGTCCGCGTGTGCGCCAATCGGTGCATTCGTTACTTAAAAGTTCCACTGGAATCGGTTGCCGTTTCCTAAACTTTCATAACCGGTAATCGTTGCTCAAGCCGGTTATCGGATCAGTTACCAGTTAGCAACAGCGGTTTGTACGTGTCTTAGCTTTCCACTCGCGTACGAAGCGCATGGCACCCTCGTTTGAGAAATGGGCCCGAACGATTTGTTACCGAGATACCTCTGGATGTAACGTACGTTGAACTTCTTTCGCCTCCGTACGTAACCAACCGTGCTAGTGTTCAGATGTAGCCTCGCAGTTCCAAGCCGAGCCCGTACTCGAGCGTAAGGAGTGCTCGGTGCAGGTTAGGGCTCGTCTACACGTAGCGCATTGTTATCGCCTGCTTGTGAGTGTGCACGTATGCCCCCTTACACGCGAGTCATTACACAGGTAAACACGCATGGTGTAGTGGATATCAGCCGGAAACCTGGGTTCCATTACTGGTCGATTCAGCCTTAAAGGACCATCTTGTGCAGCGTGTAAACTTCAGCGCTTGGGAAACAAAGGCGGCCGGGCGTGGTGCTGGCCACCACCACCACCCCCCTCGTGCTCAGCAGAGCCACTCGCCCCAATAGTCTTGCGTGGTGCCGCTACAGGGGGTACCTTTGCCTCTTGCGCGCGACAGGTGATCCTGGTTTGTAATGAGAAAGCCAAGGAGCAGCTCCCAGAGGAGCTGAGCCTGGGCCTGGTGCTCACCGTCTACGAGGCCAAGGGGCTGGAGTTTGACGACGTTCTCCTCTACAACTTCTTCTCCGACTCGGAGGCGAGCTTCCCCCCCCCCCACGGCCTCCGCTTGGTGCCCGTTGCACGTGTCCCCGATATTGCCACCTTTCCCTCCTTGTCAGGGGACTCCTCGGTGCGGCCATCATGCCCTGGCGGCACGTCTTCGCCCTCCTTCTGGTCACGCCGGCTCAACTCTTTCCGCTCGTCTCGTTCTCTCGCTCGTGCGTCTGGCGTGCGCGCGTCCCCGCCGACCCTCCTCGCTCCGGCCGCGTTCTTTACGCCCGCGGGGGGGGCCGTGCGCAGGCAACCAAGGAGTGGCGGGTGGTGAACTCGTACGAGGCGCCTGCCCGCAGCGACGACGCCGGCACCGTGCCCTCGCCGCGGCCGCTGGAGGAGACGTTGCTGGAGGAGGAGGTGCTGCTGCCCGGCTCCCGCCCTCTCAACTTTGACCCCATTGCCCACAAGGTCGGCTCCTCGCTAACGGTCGCTCGCTTGTCTGGCCAGCTATCGCTGCACAACACAAAGCAAGCGGACGATACCTCTCCTTCGTTGATATTTTAAAGATGTTTTTTTTACATAATTAAAAATAAGAAAAGGTTTTAACCCTTTCTGGGAAATTAAACAGGAGGTTTAAAAATAGAAACATTTTGCAAGGCATCAAGTCTGCATTAACCACCACACACAGTACTTGTGGCAAATCATGCCAGGCAAGGCCCACTGAGCTACACAGCTCTTTTTCAGAAGCGGCCTGGCCACAAATCATAGCTCAGTGAATTAGCTTATGATGTGGATTTCATTTTTCCTCAGCCAAATACTCCAAATGCATGTTTCTAAATGTGGAAACGGAGAGAAATCCACGTGCCCACGGGGGAGAAACAGGCAAACTCCAAATACACAGGTGCCAGGCTTGGGGATGGAACCAGTGACCTTCTCTGTACCACGCGAGATAGTTAACATCTCGCCACTGTGGCACCCGCACATCCCTGTCCTCCACGTGAAAGCACTTCTCACATTCCCCGTCACGCAACGCTTCTCAGATCGCGCATTCCCAGAGTGCCTTGCGGTAGACAGGAAGTTTTTAAAAGCGACTTTATTTTTCACACGGCGGCAACAGATCTGGTTGAACGGGACGCGTCGTCCGGTTATTGACGTCGTTGCCGCCGCACACAAAGCCGGCTCCACCGACACCGCTGACCGTGCCGAGCGTTCGCCCCCCCACAGGGCCTCTCCACCTGACGTTCACAAACCCGAGTCGACTTCGGAGCAGCGCTTGAACCCCGTGCGCACATTCGGCCGTCTCGTCACTCCGCTGCTGGATGAGGGCCTCCCCATTGGCCAGGCGGGCTGTGGTGGGGGGGGGGGGTGATTTGACCATACTTCACCACGCCGGTCAACGTCAGTTGACGAAGTCGGGGAGCTTAGACGTGTGAGCATGGAAGCGCAGTATAACAATTTGATGTTGCTACACCTCTCCCACTGCTGCTCATCACGGAGCTCTGCGGCCTCCAGCACGTGTTATGCATGGCGGTCACGCGTGGAAGCACTAGCCAGGCCCAAATACCAGCTTAGCTTCTTAGAACTGATGAGCATATTGAGCAAATATTCCAGGCGATTACTCAGTGGCGATTACACGTGGCAGTAATCATCGCCCGCGACTGGCAGACTCATGCCTGTTGGCGGGTCAAGTGCCGAGTCACCTTGTGAATTGGCGCTTGACCTCATCTGAGATTAGATGTAAGATTTTTTATTTAAAGCTTTCGTGACTGCAGGGATTCATATTATTGGTTCTTTCGGTAAAGTCACCACGTAGAAGGGAAACAATAAAAAAAATAAAACAATAAATTTCTCACGACGTTTCGACTGCAACACAAGCAATCACCATCAGGTGTGAAAACCACAGCAAGAAAATTTGAAACAAGTGGCGGTTATTTTTAACGTTAGCACCACTTTTTTTCAAATTTTCTCGCTGTGGTTTTCACACCTGATGATGATTGCTTGTGCTGCAGTCGAAACGTCATGAGAATTTTATTTTAATTATTTTTTTATAATTTTATTGTTTCCCTTCTACGTGGTGGTGACTTTACCGAAAGAACCAAGAATATAGATAGATGTAAGGTGTACAGCACTCTGGGACGACCCAGCGTACAGGAGGGAGGTGGCACTCTGTCAAACGCAAACCGTTGCCGTCATCGACATTGTTCGATGAAAAGGCATTTGAAGAATCCCCCGGGGTGAAAATTGGCGCGGGGGTTTCATTTTTTTGTACCCTCGTGAAAATTGGCAAGCTGGAACGGTTTGTGTCAAAACCATCGCTGATCTCGTCACCGAGCGCAAACCATCGCCGCAAACTCCGCCCCACTCTTGCAGCGGCCTTTGGCTGGCCCGTTGAACAAAGACGGCCGCCGCATCGCGCGCCTTCAGGGTGCGCTTTCACAGCTCTCTGAAACGCCCCTCCTTCTTCAGGACCGCTTCTCGCGTTGTTCAGTTTCGTTGTTCTTCATCCCACGCGCCTCCTACGAAGGTCGGTTGGCTACGTACGGCGTGAAAGACGTTCGACGCTACGCGCCGGGCGCCTCCGCACGCTCGGCACGTCTCTCGCACACACACACAGACACACACACACAGACACACAGACACACACACACAGACACACACACACAGACACACACACACAGACACACAGACACACACACACACAGACACACACACACAGACACACACACACACAGACACACACACACACAGACACACAGACACACACACACACACAGACACACACACACAGACACACAGACACACACACACAGACACACAGACACACACAGACACACGCACAGACACACACACAGACACACACACACACAGACACACATACACAGACACGCACACACACGCTGCGGAGGGCGGCGGCTACACCGAGCGGCAGGGTTTCCACTTGCCAAGGGGGTTTTACCGAGGCCACGCGGCGACGCCGGCGCGCCGGCTCACCGCGCCGTATCCATTCCCCCAGGTGCTTGTCGGCGAGCTCAAGCGCCTGTACACGGCGGTGACGCGCGCCCGGGTCAACCTGTGGGTGTTCGATGACCACGAGGAGAAGCGCACGCCCATGTTCCGCTACCTCGTCGGGAGGAACCTCGTCACGCTCGTCCGTGCCACCCCGGGCGAAGAGGAGGGTGGGTGGCGGAGTCGCGTCGCCGCTTCGGCGATAACGCTCCGCCGGCTCCCGAGCCGATCGGCCGTCCAACTTGCGCTCGCACGATCCTGCTTGTCCCAAGAGCCTCCATTCAGCCACTGACTAGCACTCGTCTCACTCCACGGCACTCTCCATTCTCCTGCCTCTCCCCTCTCATCTCACCATACTCACCTCCATGTCCTCTCCTGCCTCTCCCCTCTCATCTCACCATACTCACCTCCATGTCCTCTCCTGCCTCTCATCTTACCATACTCACCTCCATGTCCTCTCCTGCCTCTCCCCTCTCATCTCACCATACTCACCTCCATGTCCTCTCCTGCCTCTCCCTCTCATCTCACCATACTCACCTCCATGTCCTCTCCTGCCTCTCATCAAACCATACTCACCTCCATGTCCTCTCCTGCCTCTCCCTCTCATCTCACCATACTCACCTCCATGTCCTCTCCCGCCTCTCCCCTCTCATCTCACCCCACCGCCCTCCACGCTCTCTCCTGCCTCTCTCCTCTCATTGTAAGATTTAGCTCGCTTAACAGCACTTTCCCCAACAGTCTGTTAAGGCTATACGGGAGACCTTTGTCTTATGCCCTGCAGGCCTGGATGATGGTGTCTTTGTGCGCTCTTCCACGCCGGAGGAGTGGAACGCTCAGGGAGATTTCTTTTTCAAGCATCGTCGCTGGAAGGTGAGTGCCAAGACAGCTCGGTCTGGACACCTGGGCCTCAGCGTGGCAGTCCAGCCGTCGCTTGCCAGTGCTTGTTATTGAATTCACGGTTACCAATTTCACTAAACTGAGCTTTTTTATTTGACCAGGCAAGGCCCACTGAGTTGTAGAGCTCTTTTTCGGAAGCAACCTGGCCACAAATCAAAGCTCAATGCGCTGGCTAATCTAGCAGCCAAATCCTGTTAACGCACATTGATCAACGTGGAGGGAAAAATCGGAGTGCCCGGAGAAAACTCCATGCGTCCACGAATAGAGAGAGAGAGATAGAGGGAGGGAGACATGCAAACTCCAGGCATCAGGGTCGCGATTGAACCCACAACTTCCTGTATCCCAGGCGAGGTATTTAACATCTTGTAACCCAAGGCCTTTGGCAGAGGTGGCCCACTCAGAACATAGCAGAGCTAAAACATTTCCACGGCGACCCTTTTGCCAGTTTTGAGATGATAAAAAACAAGGTTTTACCCTTGCTGGCATTATACCGGAGGCGTTCATATTTTGCAACGCAAAATAAGACGCGAGGAATCGCACGCACACACACACACGCACGCGCACGTGTGATGACGCAGGCAAACAAACAGAAGCGCTTGCTTCCACGCAAGGAAGTTTCCTCCAGGATAAGGAAACGGCGGCGCGATGGCAACCGGCCTCTCGTGCGCCGTGCCGGAGCTTCGTAGCGCGCTCGCAACCAGCGCTCGCCCCGACAGATTTTTGTCTTTGTGTCCAGGTGGCAGCCAAGTGCTACCGCAAGGGTGGGGTTGCGGCGAAGGAGAAGCTGGCGCTGGCTCACGACGCGGCGCTGCGCACGCAGAGCAGCGGATGGAGCCCCGGGTACGGCCGCACCTGCGCCGCTCCCTCGCGGAGGGCCAGGCGGGGGGTCGGCGCTCGGTAGCGAGGAAGCCGGCGTCGGCGGCGCCTGGGGGGGAAGAGCGCCCGGGGAAGCCGGTTCCGTGCCACCCGCGAGTCGGTTCCACGCTTCCCAATCCTCCAAATGTTTTTTGTTACGAAAGGCGCAAAGAAGTGTGCAGAGGTGCATGGGGGTGGGGGGTGGGGGAATTACACTGAGAGACTAAAAGGTAAAACGCATGGATCAGAGAAGAGACAGAAATCAGAGACGTCAAGTTGACCGGAAAAGAGTAAATTGTCCCGGGTAGAACGCAACGCCGGTGAAGGGCGACCGCCGTGGGAGACGGAGCCACGATTACCGGCTTTTTGTGCTAGAAGCTGATTTAATTGCTGAATTGTTAGACAATGAGGAATGGCGGCGGCTCGGGGAGGCCTTCATTTAACGGTTGATAGAACACAGCCGGCGATGATATTTAGTTTTGTTTAAACAATGGGACGCACATTAACACTGTAACTCTAACTCACGAGCCTTTGTCACTGCCCATGACTTTAAAGCAGGGCGTGGGCAAATTTTTTGACTCGCGGGCCACGATGGTTTCTAAAATTTGACAGAGGGGCCGGGCCAGGAACAGATGGATGGAGTGTCTGTGTGAACTGAATAAAAATTACGTGTTAAAAATCATTACGTGAAAGGATTTGGCCTTTAACAGGTAGCAAAGCATTTATTTGCAAGGCAGTTTAACAAATTGCACGAACATAGGGCCTATACACCACACTCCCGGTCAAAGTGCGCCATCTAATGGGGAAACTGGGGGCATTACAGGAGAAAGGTAAAATTTAATTTAATAATAATATTTGGACAAGTTCGGCGGGCCAGATTAAAAAGCCCAACGGGCCGTATAGGGCCCGGGGGCCGTACTTTTCCCACGTCTGCTTTAAAGGATACCGAGCCAGGCTTGAGCACCACAGAACGTCGCCGCTTCTCGGTATGCAACGACGCTCCCCCTCTGCTGCTGTTGCTGCTGCCCGCGTGTTGCGAGCAGCAAGGCCCAGGACTACCTTGCCCTGGCCAAAACGTACCTCGAGTGTGGCCTGCCCCACATGGCGCTCAAGTGCCTGCAGAACGCAAAGAGCTACCCCCTCTGCGGCAGGCTGTGCGAGCGTCTCGGCAAGGTGAGCCTCCGGCATCATCACCACCACCACCCCCCCCCCCCCCTTACCATCTTTCATCCCACGCCTGTAAACGTTATTCATCATATTCTTGGTTCTTTTGGTAAAGTCACCACGTAGAAGGGAAACAATAAAATGATAAAAATATAAAACAATAAAATTCTCACGACGTTTCGACTGCAACGCAAGCAATCGTCATCAGGTGTGAAAACCACAGCAAGAAAATTTTGAAAAAAATTATTGCTGTGGTTTTCACACCTGATGATGATTGCTTGTGTTGCAGTCGAAACGTCGTGAGAATTTTATTGTTTTATATTTTTACTATTTTATTTTTTCCCTTCTACGTGGTGACTTTACCGAAAGAACCAAGAATATGAATCCCTGCAGTCATGAAAGCTTTAAATCAAAAGTTATTCATCATCTTAAGTACGTCGCCCGTTATTATAAGCCACGACATTGGATCCTGCCCCATTATTGATATCGCGACAATTGCCAAGCGACGCAGGAGGCACGTCCTGAAGGACGGCGTGGCTTTGTGTCACGTGCTCACCGAGTGTTGCCTATCCCGAGCTGCCTGGCACGAGCTGGAGCCTCGTTAATGATACAGGGCTAGGGGCCAAGTGGCCGGGTGGCTCAAAGAGTTCCCAAACGCTGCGATGGCCACCCCTGAGAAGAACCGGATTCGAATCCGGGCTGCAGCCACCTGTGAATAATGCGGGTTCTCAAGTGTTAGCGAGCCGATGGGTCGCCCAGTGACCGCACGATGACGTCGCGATGCGAGGACAGCAGCAGCAGCAGCAGCGCTGTCGGACTGCCTCGTGTTGACCCGGCGTTGACCTCGTGTTGACCTCGTGTTGACCTCGCGTGCTGCACGTGGTGTGCGAGTAGGTGCGAGAGGCAGTCGGGTGGTACATGAAGAGCTCGTGCTACGACGAGGCCGCGAGGCTCATTGAACGGTTTGTACTCCGCCCGTGCCCCGGGTTGCATTTCAATCGCGCGACTTTCATCCGCTCAACCAGGTTGCCCTCTTCGCATGTTAAAGTCGTACGACAACCCACCGTCGTCGTCGTCCTTCTTGTGTCGCTGCGCAATCTGGTACGCTTCGATTTTGGCGCTGCATCAGTTGTTGTAACGGTTAGACAGTTCGTGAAGTTTCTGAGAGATTGTTTGGCGTGTTTTTACAGCTGGATGATTGAGAAACCACGGTTTGCGCATTATCGCCAAACAATCAGCGTCGTTATTTTTCACTCTTCTCTAAAAACTCACGAATATCCCCTTGCTTACCCTCAACTCCCCTTCCCCATCCATTCCCCATCTTTTACACGATCTCTCTTCCCAACTTCCCTACCCATTCATCACACTCATTCATCATCAACTACTGATTGTCACTTTCATCATCGTTTATTGCACTCATCATATTCACGGGCTACTCATCGCACCGTTCGATTTCCAACACGTAGGCTTTCACGACCAATATCGTTCATAATACAGGGGTTTTTTGGGGTTAAATCGCGTAAATATAAATGTGTCGTTAAACAGAACACGCCAATTCGTTACTAGTACAGCACACCGGTGGTGTGTTGGAGAGTAAATCCACATTTACAATCCAAGTGACGTTTCGCCATTAATTACAACTAGCATCATCAGGCGAAACAGCAGGATTTTTCCATAAATCTGGCTGTCGCCTGATGACGAATTGTAATGAATGTTGTTTTGGATTTACTCTCCCAACACACCGGTGTGCTGTACTAGTAACCAATTTCCACGTTCTGTTCACGTGCCAAACATTACCAATTGGCTGTGTCAGGTGGTGGCCGGCTTAACGTGGACACGTTTATAATTAAGTGACCTAACCCAAAAAAACACTTGTATGTATCATTGCCAATTCTCCATTGGGCACCTTAGCGAAGGGGCTGTATGGAATCAAAACGTGATCGGCCATACGTTTAAAAGTGTTGAACGGCGTGGTGCCACCGTCACTCTGGACCCCCCCCCCCCCCCGTGCCACGGTGCGGTGCGCCCAGGTGTGAGGCCGAGCAGAGCCCCGACGGAGGCCTCGCCCCCGTGGACTTCCCGTGGAAGTGGCGCGAGCTCCGCTTCGTGGCCGCCAGGCGTCACGTGGAGCGGGGCGACGAGGGCGCGATGATGAGCTCGCTGTCCCGCGTCGCCTTCGAGGAGCAGCTCGCCTTCCTCAGGATGAACGACTTTTTGGCCCAGGCCGTCGCCCTCCTCGAGCAGAGGGGCAGGGTCGAAGAAGCCGGGAAGATGCTTCGAGAACACGGGATGATTACCGACGCGTTGCGGCTCGCCAGGCCCGGGAGCCAATTCGCTGGCGAGTGCCTCCTGGCGAAGGCCCGTGCCGCGTTGCGGGCGTTGCGGGCACGCGCCAGCCGACGAGACGAGGCGGAGGAGGAGGAAGCTTTGCGCGAAATAAAAGCAGAACTCCAGAGCGTGAGGGAAACGTGCGAGAATAACAACTTTGTGAGCGGGAAGGCCGAAGCCTGCTACATGCTTGGGAAGTTGGAAAGCGACGAAGACCTCCTGCGTGAAGCAATCACGCTCTTCCTCGAGGCCGACGTGGTCGTGGGCGCTGCCGAAGCGACCGCGGCTTTGCTGGACGTCGAGGGCGGGGGGTCGCCGCACGTCGTCCCCATCATACTCGAGGTGCTGCAGCCCCTGCTGCGGCTCGTGGCGAGCTTCCTCGGCGGCGGCGCGAGATCAGGGGAGGCCGCGGCTCATCGGGAGCAGTGGCTGGCGCAGAGCTGCGAGTTTTACGGCTTGAGCCGGAGCGAGGGGTCCTGCAGGGTGTTGACGCAGGAGGGCTCCAGGTTCCTCGACGTGCCCGGCGGCCCGAGGCACGGCGACGGAGAGCCGCCGCGCGTGCCCACGCCCGAGGCGGACCGCGTCCTCGCGCGGCACCTGCTGGGTCGCTGCGAGCGCCTCGCCCGGGCGGCGGAGTCCCGCGCGCGCCAGACGCCGGGGGTCTGCGGGCGCCACCCGACGGGAGGGGCGTGCCCGCTCCGAGATTGCCGCGGCGCGCACGGCGGCGCGGCCGGCGGGGCGGAATTGAAAAAGTTGGTGGCGAGCAAAGTTCACCTGGTGACGCTGTCCGGAATTCTCCTGGAAGCGATCCCGCAACTGGAGTCCCGGAGCCCCGAAGCGGCAAAATTTGTGGAGGCGCTCCTTCCCAAGCCAGAGCTGGCTGACTGCGAGGACCTCCTCGCCCTGCTGTTCCCCAGCCGTTTCCACCCGCGAGGGCTGTCGGAGAGCCCGGCGTCCTGCGGGGACATCCTGGCGCCGATACGGAGCAACCCTCACGTCGGCTCCGCGATGCGCGAGCTCGTGGCGCGGGAAGTCGCCTCCCGCGGCGAGGAGAGCCGGAGGGAATCGACCGACCTTTGGCTCGAGGCGTACCGCGCGGCGCGCGCCGTCAATTCTCCGACGGAGCCCGGCAGGCTCCTGCGCGCCGAAGAAGAAGAAGAAGAAGCGTTTCGCCGGCGCGTCGAGCGGAAGAGGTCGGGGCCGGGCGGCGCCACCGGCATGCTCGTCCTGCCCAATGGACGCTACGCCAGCTTTTTCAACCTCTTCGCGGAATCGGCGGAGAAGGCGTTCGCGCGGGGAGACGTGCTGGGCTCGATCCACGCCTTCTGCCGCTTCCGCAAGCTGATCGGGACGCGGCGGCAGCGTCGCGGCGGCGGCGGCGGCCTCGCGCCCAGCGTGGCCAACGCGGCGGCGATGGCGGAGCTGCAGTTGGTGCTGGTCTGCGCGGTCCACGCGAGCGCGCGCCCCGACGTGAACACGGTCTGCCTGCCGCAGGGCTACCTCGCCACGCTGAACCTGTGGAGCTGGATGCATCCGCCCAACCCGCGGGTGGGTGCGCCACGCGCGGACCGGGGGGGGCGCCTCGCGGATATTTACCTCCCGGACGTTTTTCCGTGAGGCTTTTCCAACGGAGAGTGAAAGTTAGTCATGCGTCAACTCTGTCCGGCCGTCCGTCCGTCCGTCTCTCTGTAACGCGGGGGTTGCGGTGGCTCTCTCCTGCTGAGAATGATCCGACACGAACGGAATTTGATCGTGAGAAAACCGTCCCCGTTGATCGAAAAGTTTAAGCGCCCACGATGTGGCTATAACAGCCGGCACCAAGCAGATAGGCGCGTGTGTGTGTATGTGTGTACGTGTGTGTACGTGTGTGTGTGTATGTGTGTGTGTGTATGTGTGTGTGTGTGGACGGAGTCTTGGCGTGTATTGAATCGTAATCGATTGTTGATCTGGCCAACTGCGTGTCATTAGAAACACCGCACCCGCCGCACACGGCCAAACAAATTGAACGTCGGGCGCGGCACGCAAACTTTTAAAGTTGCGGCTCACCGGTAAGCTGACGGACAATCCGCAACAACCAAATTCAGCAACCGCCTCCGAGCCCAAAACTCAACGAGGAGATTGGCCACGGCAACTCAGGCGCAGAGTTGGCGACGCGTTTTGGTGCGATTGTATCATCGTACGGCTCTCGCAACGTGACACACGCTGACGGAGCACGTGAGCGCGATGCTCCGGACGCTCGCTCTCTCACGCCGTTTAATTGTCACTCTGTGGCTCTTTCGGTAAAGTCCACGTGGTGGTTAGAAAATAAAATAAATTAAATCACGACGTTTCGTGCGCAACAACAACAGGCGTCCGTCAGCAGGTGGGACAACCACAGCAAGAAATAATTGCTGAAGTGGGCGAGAGGCCTGCCGTGACAAGAGGTTATATAGGTAAGAGAGGGGGGAGGAGTAAGGGGGGAGAGAGAGGGGGGGGTGAGTGGGCGGGGTTGGGAGTGGGAGGCTGGCGAAGCTGGAGATGCGGATATGAAGGCAACAACCATAAAGCAGTTAAGGTTTGGATACAAATTGAGCAATCATTGGAAGGATGTTATTAACCAGGTAAAAAACTTAACTGCTTCATGGTTGTTGCCTTCATATCCGCATCTCCAGCTTCCCCAGCCTCCCACTCCCAGCCCTGCCCACTTCCCCCCCGGTCTCAGGTCCTCTCTTCCCCTAGCGCTTCTCTCTCCTCCCCCCTCTCTTACCTATATGACCTCTTGTCACGGAAGACCTCTCGCCCACTTCAGCAATTCTTTCTTGCTGTGGTTGTCCCACCTGTTGTCGCGATTCGTTTTATTTCGTCTTATTTTCTACCTACCACGTGGGCTTTTACCGAAAGAATCAAGGAGTGTGGATTCCTGCAGCCACGAAAGCTTAAAATCAAGATTGTTTCATCGTTCCCCCCTTCAGGCGAAACATCACCGTGACGTCTTCGAGGCTATTAATGAGTTCGGCAGAGGCCAGCAGCAACCTTCCGGCCACGACAGAGTGCTGAGGCACGTCGACCACTTGGCCCTCATGGTGTGCGGCGAGCGCAACGAGTTCCTGCTCGACGCCTGCGGCGATGACCCCTGCGTGGAGTCGGGGGCAGCGGAGCGCCTGGTCGTGCTGTGCCTGGTCATGCTCGTTAACGTCCACATCCTGAGGAGGGCGAAGCTCCAGTCCCGCATCCGCGCGGCCGTCAGGAACGCCGGCGAGGGCCTCCCGCCCGAGAGGCGGGACAGGCTGCCGCCGCGTCTCCTGCGCTGCCTGGAAGCGGCCGACGCGGCCAAAGGACCCGGCGACGTGGCGGCTGCCCTGGACGCGCTTCTGCGGCAGAGGGATGGCGATCGTCTCTACGACTGCGTGTGGAGCTCGCGGAGGCGCGGCTTCTTTCTCCACCGCGGGTCGTCGGCCTCCCGATTCCCCGAGCGATTTGAGCGCGACCCGGGGGAGCCGGGGATTTCCGCTTCGAGCCCGGGGCGGTTCCCGAACGGCGACGGCGGCGAGGAGAGGGGGGAGGAGGAGGAGGAGGAGGACGAGGACGAGGAGCGGAGCGAGCTGCTCTTGCTGCGTCATCTGGCCGCGCGGCGGGAAACGGAGGAGCGGACGCGGCTGAAGGCTCGGCGCAGGTGGAGAGCGGCACGGCGGGCCCTGCAGTTTGCCGTGGCCCTGAGCGCCGGGCTGAGGGAGGAAGCCACGGGACAGACGGTCCTCAGACCCGCGCGGCTGACCCAGGGGCGCTGCGGCGTGTGCGGCGTGAGCTTCGCCGAGGAGCGGGACGCCAACGCCGCCGCCGCCGCCGCCGGCGGCGCGTCCGGCGTCTCGGCGAGCGGCCACTACGGGTCCCGGGGCCACGCGTCCGGGACGGAGCGGTATCACGCCTACGTCGTCGAGTTCCGTCGCCTGGTAGATCCGGCGACGCGGAAGGCGGCGGCGGGGCTCCGGCGGTCGGAAGGGCCGCGCCGCCAGGGGCGCGCCGGCGCGCGGTTGGAGATGCGTCGGGAGGAGCTGAGGGAGGCGATGAAGCGCGTGGAGCTGCTGGAGCGCGAGCAGCGCACCGGCGTGCTTTGGGATGGTAAGGGTCGCTGCTCCTCCTCGTCGCGTGCACGGCTATCGGGGGTTTAAATATCCGCTCGCCTTGATTTGTTTTACCAAGATGTCCTCCTCGGTTTCCTGCTCGCCGCGTCCGATCGGAATCTTAATTTAGACTGCAAGGAGGAATCCGGTGAGCTGTGAAGCTCTTTCCCGCGGATGTCCAGAATGGGGGGGGGGGGGGCTGGGTCAGCCAGTTACAACAGCAATCAATGCAATAAAAACCGATAGGAGTGCAACACTGAGAAGATGGTTAAGCAATTCACTAAATATAAATAAGTGATCATTTGTATTATTGGTTCTTTCGGTAAAGTCACCACATAGAAGGGAAACAATAAAAATATTTTTTAAAAAAATTCTCCCGACGTTTCGACTGCAACACAAGAAGCAATCATCATCAGGTGTGAAAACCACAGCAATAATTTTTTTTTTCAAATGTTCTTGCTGTGGTTTTCACACCTGATGATGATTGCTTGTGTTGCAGTCGAAACGTCGTGAGAATTTTTTTTATATTTTTATTATTTTATTGTTTCCCTTCTACGTGGTGACTTTACCGAAAGAACCAAGAATATGAATTCCTGCAATCACGAAAGCTTTAAATCAAAAGTGATAATTTGTATTCGTATTTATCAAAGCTTGGGCAAAGTATTAAAAAAACACCAGCAAAAGACATCCAAAGTGCTGCTGCTAGGAGAAGCGAGCTTGGGGGGCTTGGGCAGGACGCGTCGTCAACGGACCGGGAGGAACGACGGTTACCCGATGGTCGACGCCGATAACGGAGCAAGCGGCGAAGGGACATTGCGTCCGAGAGAGAGAGAGAGAGGTCGCGTCCACCGGAGCGACGAGATCGAGATTGTTGCACCGCGGGATTGCGCGGGCGGTGGCAGTGGCCCCGGGAGGCCTTCACTCGGCGGTGGATTGATCACGGCGATCTTTTATTTTCCATTCGTACGGCTGCCGATATGGATGCAGAGCAACGTGCACAATTTGACGTGCATGGGGGGTCAAGCCGGACAATCGCGTCAGGAACACCGGGTGTATCGCTGTAACGATGTCTTCTGCGTATTTGTTGGATGATCGGGAATTGCGTCGTTACATGTCCACAGTCGCATCCAGGAGAGTTTTTAATATTCCATTTCTGCATCAGGTATCTGCTTCTGCCCCCGCTCTGTGCGGATGCGGTTTATTAATTAATCGCATCCGCTGATGATGGATCTTGGAGAAGCGTCGCTTTGTAATCAAAACTGTATCCTGTCAGAGTGAAGGCTCCTAACTCCTTTTTAAAGAGATTACTTTGAACACCGTTTACTTGATTAACTCCCTAAACATAAATGCGATTTGCGGTCCCATCTTGTGGCAGATGGAACCTTACAGAGCAAATTAATCCGTGTGGTCGTCAATCCGAAGACGGTGAGAGCACCGCATCTTCACATCGGATCACGGACTCCTTGGTGCCGGGTCTCCAGTACCGCATCAGGGCAACACCAAACCCGCGATGCCACTCAGACCCGGTCGCGGTGCCTCGTGATGGGGCGCCTCGGTGGCTAGGAGATGTGAACTACCTCGCCCGGCATACAGGAGGTCGCGGGTTACATCCCGACCCTGACGCCTCTCGGCAATCCCCTCCGCTTATGCGAACGCAACCTTAGAGGCCTCGGATTGACCGAGCGGGGCATCGCGCGCGGCTCTGCCTCCGCGGAGGAGGCTTGCGATGATGAGGCCTTAGAGGTCGGCGCAAGCACCTTGAGGTGGCGGTTCACGCGGGGAGAGGAGAGAAAGCGCCAACCAGGATTTGAACTCGCAGCCATCGCGAGCCTCCCCCCCCTCTCTCCAACACTGAGCCACACGGCCGGTTTGCCACGGTGCGCAGCAGGGTGACGTGCAATTGTTAACGCGACCTCTACCGGCGCTTTCTCAGCGCTGTGAAGGAGGGCCGTTGCCTGAAACGTCGCGTTACGTAGATACGTTTTGAGGCCGTGACTAACGCGAGGTTTTTCTTTGTTAGGCTGTGCTCTGCGCAGCATCGCCAAATAATTCGTCTCGTTCCGGTGCATTGGTGGTTTGTCGCGATGGGAAAACGGCGTTCCGGGCTTCCAGGCTCCGCGGAGGACGATTCCACGAGCATCCCTGATGATCCCCCGCCTGGGCGTGTTTGCGTGTTGGCGTGCGTGTCGGGAATTTCACCATGCAGTCGGCGAGAAGCTGCGATCGGCGGTGGAGCATTTGGACAGGTGCACCACGGAGCTGGAGTCGATCGTGGCCCGCGGAGCGGCCGACGCAGGTTTGTCGCTCGATTTTACCCCGAGGTCGTTTTTTAATCATCCGGTCGGAGTGACGAGCTCACGGCGGTCAACTCTCTCTCTCTCTGTCTGCTGCTGGAGTCGGCCAAGTGAGCTCGCGTGAACCGGTTTTGCCGTACGGGGGGGGGTTTCTCCTTTCACCCGTACCCCTCGTGGACAAAGATGGCCAACGCGCGACCGTGTACGACCCATTGAGTCCACATTCCTCGCTCCGCCGTCTCGTGTTCGGCCGCCCCGCGGGGGCGTCCGCGTCGGATTTTGAGTGCGCGGCGGAGGCGGCCGGTGGAGGAGCGGGGCCCCCCGTGCTCGGCGGCGCGTCGATCGGCGGGCCCTGCGTTGTTGGCGGGACGCGCTCTGTGGTTTTGCCCGTTGCGGGCGGTTGACCGGGCCCTGGTGGTGTTCATCAGACGAGGTGCATGAGGATGAAGGAGAGCCAGAGGGGGCGGCGACCTTCAAGGAGCTCGACCCGCTGCACAAGACGGAGCGCAGGCCGGGGCCGCGGCGACGCCGAGGAGTCCCGGCTCCGGCACTCGGGCTTTGAACGGGGACTCCGCCCCTGCTACACACACACACACACACCACCAGATCTACACACATTCACTAACCCCAGCTACACACACACACACACCACCAGATCTACACACATTCACTAACCCCTGCTACACACACACCACCAGATCTACACACATTCACTAACCCCTGCTACACACACACACACACCATCCCCAGATCTACACACATTCACTAACCCCAGCTACACACACACACACCACCAGATCTACACACATTCACTAACCCCAGCTACACACACACACACACACCACCAGATCTACACACATTCACTAACCCCTGCTACACACACACCATCCCCAGATCTACACACATTCACTAACCCCAGCTACACACACACACACCACCAGATCTACACACATTCACTAGCCCCAGCTACACACACACACACACCATCCCCAGATCTACACACATTCACTAGCCCCAGCTACACACACACACACCACCAGATCTACACACATTCACTAGCCCCAGCTACACACACACACACCACCAGATCTACACACATTCACTAACCCCTGCTACACACACACCACCAGATCTACACACATTCACTAACCCCTGCTACACACACACACACACCATCCCCAGATCTACACACATTCACTAACCCCAGCTACACACACACACACCACCAGATCTACACACATTCACTATCCCCAGCTACACACACACACACTACCAGATCTACACACATTCACTAACCCCTGCTACACACACACACCACCAGATCTACACACATTCACTAACCCCAGCTACACACACACACACCACCAGATCTACACACATTCACTAACCCCTGCTACACACACACAGCATCCCCAGATCTACACACATTCACTAACCCCAGCTACACACACACACACCATTCCCAGATCTACACACATTCACTAACCCCAGCTACACACACACCATCCCCAGATCTACACACATTCACTATCCCCAAGCTCCGGCACTCAGGCTTTGAACGGGGACTCCGCCCCTGCTACACACACACACACACACCACCAGATCTACACACATTCACTAACCCCAGCTACACACACACACCACCCCCAGATCTACACACATTCACTAGCCCCAGCTACACACACACACCATCCCCAGATCTACACACATTCACTAACCCCAGCTACACACACACACACCATCCCCAGATCTACACACATTCACTAACCCCTGCTACACACACACACACCATCCCCAGATCTACACACATTCACTAACTCCTGCTACACACACACACACACCATCCCCAGATCTACACACATTCACTAACCCCAGCTACACACACACACACACCATCCCCAGATCTACACACATTCACTATCCCCAGCTACACACACACACCATCCCCAGATCTACACACATTCACTAACCCCAGCTACACACACACACACACCACCCACAGATCTACACACATTCACTAGCCCCAGCTACACACACACACCATCCCCAGATCTACACACATTCACTAACCCCAGCTACACACACACACACACCATCCCCAGATCTACACACATTCACTAACCCCTGCTACACACACACACCATCCCCAGATCTACACACATTCACTAACCCCAGCTACACACACGCCATCCCCAGATCTACACACATTCACTAATCCCAGCTACACACACACACCATCCCCAGATCTACACACATTCACTAACCCCAGCTACACACACACACACCATCCCCAGATCTACACACATTCACTAGCCCCAGCTACACACACACAAACACCATCCCCAGATCTACACACATTCACTATCCCCAGCTACACACACACACACACCATCCCCAGATCTACACACATTCACTATCCCCAGCTACACACACACACACACCATCCCCAGATCTACACACATTCACTAACCCCAGCTACACACACACACAATCCCCAGATCTACACACATTCACTATCCCCTGCTACACACACACACCATCCCCAGATCTACACACATTCACTATCCCCAGCTACACACACACACACACCATCCCCAGATCTACACACATTCACTAACCCCAGCTACACACACACACCATCCCCAGATCTACACACATTCACTATCCCCAGCTACACACACACACCATCCCCAGCGCAACACACACACACACCATCTTCCGGACCAGGCAATGTGCGTGGATTCCACGTGCCTGCAACATTTCACATTTGAATACAAATTAGTTTGTGTTAGTACGTTTTGAAGGGTTTGTCTGTTACCTTAATATTTACCAACAGGCAACTAGTTCCTATGCCAATTTAAAGCTGTTCTTTATAACATTTTGCATTTCAAGGCCACGGTTGGTACGGACCAATGCGTTTGGCTTTTGTTATTCAGGCTAACGGAGAAAAACGTGCACGGTGCATCTCCTTCGTGTCGCGGTGCAGTGATCAACGAGCGCTCCACTCTCCTCCACGGCGACACCATCACGCTCCACTCTCTACAGTGACACCCTCACGCTCCACTCTCTACAGCGACACCATCACGCTCCACTCTCCTCCATGGCGACACCATCACGCTCCACTCTCTACAGTGACACCATCACGCTCCACTCTCTACAGTGACACCCTCACGCTCCACTCTCTACAGCGACACCATCACGCTCCACTCTCCTCCATGGCGACACCATCACGCTCCACTCTCTACAGTGACACCATCACGCTCCACTCTCTACAGTGACACCCTCACGCTCCACTCTCTACAGCGACACCACCACGCTCCACTCTCTACAGCGACACCATCACGCTCCACTCTCTACAGCGACACCATCACGCTCCACTCTCTACAGCGACATCATCACGCTCCACTCTCCTCCACGGCGACACCATCACGCTCCACTCTCTACAGCGACACCATCACGCTCCACTCTTTACAGTAACACCATCACGCTCCACTCTCTACAGCGACACCCTCACGCTCCACTCTCTACAGCGACACCATCACGCTCCACTCTCTACAGCGACACGCTCCACTCTCTACAGCGACACCATCATGCTCCACTCCCTACAGCGACACCATCACTCTCCACTCTCTACAGCGACACCATCACGCTCCACTCTCTACAGTGACACCATCACGCTCCACTCTCTACAGCGACACCATCACGCTCCACTCTCTACAGTGACACCATCACGCTCCACTCTCTACAGTGACACCATCACGCTCCACTCTCTACAGTGACACCATCACGCTCCACTCTCTACAGTGACACCCTCACGCTCCACTCTCTACAGCGACACCATCACGCTCCACTCTCCTCCACGGCGACACCATCACGCTCCACTCTCTACAGTGACACCCTCACGCTCCACTCTCTACAGTGACACCATCACGCTCCACTCTCTACAGTGACACCATCACGCTCCACTCTCTACAGCGACACCATCACGCTCCACTCTCTACAGCGACACCCTCACGCCCCACTCTCTACAGCGACACCATCATGCTCCACTCTCTACAGTGACACCATCACTCTCCACTCTCTACAGTGACACCATCACGCTCCACTCCCTACAGCGACACCATCACGCTCCACTCTCTACAGCGACACCATCACGCTCCACTCTCTACAGTGACACCATCACGCTCCACTCTCTACAGTGACACCATCACGCTCCACTCTCTACAGTGACACCATCACGCTCCACTCTCTACAGTGACACCCTCACGCTCCACTCTCTACAGTGACACCATCACGCTCCACTCTCTACAGTGACACCATCACGCTCCACTCTCTACAGTGACACCCTCACGCTCCACTCTCTACAGCGACACCATCACGCTCCACTCTCCTCCACGGCGACACCATCACGCTCCACTCTCTACAGTGACACCATCACGCTCCACTCTCTACAGCGACACCCTCACGCTCCACTCTCTACAGCGACACCATCATGCTCCACTCTCTACAGTGACACCATCACTCTCCACTCTCTACAGTGACACCATCACGCTCCACTCCCTACAGCGACACCATCACGCTCCACTCTCTACAGCGACACCATCACGCTCCACTCTCTACAGTGACACCATCACGCTCCACTCTCTACAGTGACACCATCACGCTCCACTCTCTACAGTGACACCATCACGCTCCACTCTCTACAGTGACACCCTCACGCTCCACTCTCTACAGTGACACCATCACGCTCCACTCTCTACAGTGACACCATCACGCTCCACTCTCTACAGTGACACCCTCACGCTCCACTCTCTACAGCGACACCATCACGCTCCACTCTCCTCCACGGCGACACCATCACGCTCCACTCTCTACAGTGACACCATCACGAGCCGAGCTCGCAGTGCCGGAGAGACCGCCGCGTGACATGCACAACTTCGTTTTTTCACGCAGCTACCCAGAATGCCGAGCAGGCCGCGTCCCGCACGTGCTTCTCTTGCCGCTAAACTGAATCGTAGTTTTGTGGACCGTGCCTGGGCCTGTGTCCAGGTCATCATTGACCAAAAGTCGGCGTGATGGACGTGAATGTAGTTTGTTTGTAATAGTTTACGTGGGGTTTAACTAGTTTTGTGTAACCACCGAACGCGTTCATTTTACGTAGCAGGCGCTTCCTGCGATTGACAGAATGACAGCAACGAAAGAACACGGTAGATCATTTAGAAATTCATCTTCACGCATGGGATTCGCATCCCAGATTTCTTCCGCTGTACACGTTAATTTACTTCTCTAACATCTTAAATGGATTTTGTTAGCTGTCAACGCGACGAATATAAATTCGGCATTCCGTTTTGGTAACACTTTTTTGCATCTTGTCTGTATTGTTCTGAAACAAGATGAGTAGCCTTTTATTTACAATAGCAATGTAGACACGTGAATGATGTCATGCCAAAATTGTAATTGTTTTACATTAAAAAGATAATCAGACGATTAAAAGGTCCAATTCATTTTCGATTGTGGTCAACATTCCACCACTTTGTACAGGAATGACGGCCGCATTTGCAA